CATGTGAACTTAACCACTAGTCCATCAGGCCGGCCCCTTCATATACATTTTAAATGGAATTAATTTCATTGTTTCAGCTAGAAGAAGACATTTATTATTAACAATTTTGAACCTAAAAAAGTGTAAAGAGTAAAGCAAAAATTATCCCCCAGATCTATCATAAAGAGATAATCACCACTGTCAACATTTAAACACACCAGCTCTAACACACCAGCACACACACACACACCATATTCTTATAAAAAATGTGATGATCATACCATCCATGTCCTAGTAACCTGCATTTTTAAAAAATCTTAAGATTATATCCTGGATAAGTAGTAAATGTGTCTTCACCGGTACTTTTCATTGCTGCCGTGTTTAGTTGTATTTAACCAATCCCTGCTTGACTTTGAAATTGTTCGCAATTTTTCATTATTGCACGTGTTTGATGTACATTTCAGGGTGAGTAGGGTGAGAGATCTGAAGAGAAGGCAGATTTGAAATCTTCATGGTAGAGGCTGGAACAGGAGTTGACTGGAGAAATGCTCTTCACAGTTAAAAAAATAATTTTTTAAAGATTGGCACCTGAGCTAACAACTGTTGCCAATCTTTTTTTTTTTCTGTTTTTTCTCCCCAAATCCCCCCAGTACATAGTTGTATGTTTTAGTTGTGGGTCCTTCTAGTTGTGGCATATGGGACACTGCCGCAGCGTGGCCTGACGAGCAGTGCCATGTCCTCGCCCAGGATCCGAACCGGCGAAACCCTGGGCCGGCAAAGCGGAGAGCACGGACTTAACCACTCTGCCACGGGGCCAGCCCCCTCTTCACATTTTTCTTTACTAATGTGCCCCCAAAAGAATTTTGAAAAACCCTACATATTTTGCACTTTTAGAAGTTGATGTGTATAGTTTGTATTAAATTTAAATATATATAAAGCTCATAATTTCTGGCAAATTATAAATATATACATGTTAAAATTAAGCTGTGCCATTGTTTTTTACAATGTATCTGATGGAATCAAAATATAGCAATTTGATATCTACCTTAATCTGTTAAAAAATCCTGAACCAGCTTCTCTTTAATGATCTGAAATGCTTTATAGTCCCTTTTTCTTCTTGAATTACTAATTCTATTCTACTTTCCTTATAGAGTTTGTGCTAATGCAATATAATTTTACACCTGACAGTCTTTCATTGATCAACCATTGCAATAAAACCTGTGTGCAGAAATTTAAATGTTTAAAATTTCCTGGGACCATAAACAAATTTTAAAACATATATTACACATTTTGAAAGGTAATTTGTTAAATGTAAAGTAAAAAGTGTGGGTTTTTCCTCCAACTAGATAATATCTGTGGATGAGTGTTAGTTGTTGGTAGAATGAAACAGGAGCAGCATCAATTTTTTTTCTTGTTTTCCATTTCTATAGATGTAAGTGCTGAGAAATATTTTCACATAAATCAAGTAGCTGGGAATGCAAGCTTTGTTACAGCAATCTCCCTCAATTCTTTGAACTCCTTCTGAGTTATCTGATAAAAATTGTATATTAATCTATCACCAAAAAGTATTTCTAATGATCTGTCAGTGGGTAAGCAACTAGGTCTGCTGTCAGTTTTATTAACGGTAAGGACCACAGTGCTAGAGAGATGTCTTAGGACGCCAGGCATAGCACAAGTTGGAGCACATTGGAACTCGATGACTATGGGTATTTCCTCTACCGTGTTGCGTGCTTTGCTCCACTGCTGCTCAGTTCCTCAGGGGCAGCCCAGAGAAGGGGAGGGATGGGTTCAGTCATGGTTGAATTTTTACCACATGTATGTTAACCAGAAGACACAAGAAATATGAAATAACAGATGGTGGAATTTAAGCTGGACAAGGAAAATGGCGAAAGAAGACGACTGATAGACTGGGGGAAGCAGATAGGAGCAAGTAAATGCAGGGCTTTTCAAGGTGGGAGATTGGTTGGAATAGCTGAGGGTCAAATAGGAAAAAGGAGAGGTTGTGGTCACATGTGCGATTCACTGGTTTTGGAGGTGAAGCAGTGATGCTTCATGACCATGTCCAAGGTGTGGCCTTGATGGAAAGTTCATGAACTTTCTTTGTTCATGAACAAATGCCTGAAGATAGGTTTACAGATATAGGTGGCCATGGTGTCAAAAGGATCGTCCATGTTGATTTTATAAGGAATGCAGGCAGGGCTTGGAATGGAGAGACAGAGTGGGGCAGACAACAACAGATTTGAACAATGAGAGAAAGATTAGTAAAGGAGAACAACTAAGAGAGGGGAAAGATGCTCATGAAACGTGAAAGGGGTGGGTCTTAAAGGAGCTTCCTATGTTTGCAAGAAGCTGGAGGAAGAATGGTCTGGAAATGGCCATGGTGGGTGCAGAAGGTACAAAACTCATTGCCTGACGCTGGTGTATATATACTTGCCATTTGAGAAGTGTAGGGGAAGCCATGTCCTTGGGGAAGAGCCCCAGTTGTAGAAGGGAGAAACTCAGAGCAGATATTGAAGACACAGGGGAGTTTGCTGCTTATGGAGGGGCAGTAACAAGAGGTCACAGTGAGGGGTCCTGGTAAGCAGTGAGTGTTGGTAGCTCAGGAGGAACAAGGAACAAGGAAGCACAGAGCTCTGTGAGGATAATAGTACAGCTCAAGACCCCGGTGTGTATGTGCGGAGAAAGTAGATTCTAGTTTCAGTGTCGACTACAGAAAACAGAAAAGAGGGTAGGTGGATTTCTTCCAGCAGTCTTTGAAGAGTTGGGCCCCTGCCTAACTACTAAACATCTGCTATAAGTCGATAGACGATGAGTGTCTCGCTTGGTTGGAATACATGAAGCTCACATGCTGCAGACATGCTGAATTATTATTTTAACGTATTTTTGCTTTTTACTGCCAGTGTATTATTGGGATTATTTTTGCGTCTATATGATTAAATAACACTGGCTTGTAATTTTCTCTCTTTGTTTGCGTATCTGTGTTTGTATATGTGCGTGTGCTTCGTTAGGTGTTGGTATGAGGGTTATGCTAGCTTTGTAGAAATGAAGAAGTGTTCATTCTTTCTCCATGCTTGGAGCTCTTTACCTAGTACAGACATTTTCTGTTCCTTGTAAGTTGAAAAGAAATTTGCTATGAAATTCTCTGAATGTGTTCCGTCTAATATGGCATCTTAAGCACTTGAAATGTGGCTAGTACGACTGAGGAACTGAGTGTTTAAATATTTTATTTCTTATTTTTATTTTTAATTGAATTTTCATTAAAAATTGATACTCATCTCAGTGGATATGTGAATCCACTTTTTGGAAATTATACAAAGTCTAAATATACAGATGAAGTATTTCTGATGAAAATTTAATGGGATTGAAATGTACTTCAAATGCAAAATATACCCTGGATTTTAAAGACCTATGTACCAAAAAAAGTAAAATTAATAGCTTTTATATTGATTTCATGTTAACATGATAATCTTTTATCATGGCTATGTTAAATCAAACATATTACTAAAATTAATTTTACCTGTTCCTTTTTACACTTTTAGTGTGACTATTAGAAAATATAAAGTTGCATATGTGGCTTGCTTTTGTGACAGGCATTATATTTTTAATAGACTGCGTGGTTCTGAACCATGAACTTTCTTGAAAGGTTAGTAAAACCTCCTCAGTTCCTTCTAGAATTACTAGTTCATTCAGTTTATTTATCTCTCCAGAATAAATTTTGATCATTTATATTTTCCTCAAACACCATTTACTTCAAATATATTTTCAAAAGTATGAATGTAGTGCTTTACGAATATTATATTTATTTATTCATTTATTTGTTTATGGTTTTAATGGTAAATCAGCTCTCAGATCTATTGATTTTGTTATTTTTCATTAATTTTGTATCTGTTTTGATATCTATTGATTTGAATATGTTTTTAGAATCATTGAATTTCCTTTCCTTATTTGTATGAATTACATTTTTATTTTCTTTTCTGACGAAAATCCCAATTTTTCAAAAAGGGATATTGTCAATGAATAGAGAAGTCAATATTTCTTTTGTTTTATTTTCAGTTCCACAAACTATTTTTCCCATGATATATTGCCTTGCTTCTAATTAATTAGATACATTTTATCTACCACTTTTATTTTTCAGTATTTCAATTTCCATGAAACATTTATTCTCACGATATTGCATTTAAAAATGAAACAGGATATTTCCTGCATATATATTTCATCCTTCCTTCCCCTTTCTTGCTTTGCAATTCATTTTTTATAGAGAAAGCAATCACGCTGTACTTAAAAAAGAATCAACAATAGATATACTGTATCTAGCATTAGGCATGTTCCGCAGTTGTGCTAACTTCTTCATTGAAATTATCCTATTTAGTCCTCACAGTAGCCCTGTGAAATGCATACATACAGGCCAAGAGTGATCAGGAGACACATCTAAAGTTTCTCAGCTGTTGCCCTGGGGCTCACAAGCCCCATTCCAGAGCTCACTCTGCTGCCATCTCATACATGGTACTAGAAAAATATAGCAGAGCCCTTGATAGCGGATGTCTAGCATCAGAACATCAACATAGTTCATGCCCAGATTCAATTGTCAGACAATTATTATGTGCAATTATATTGTGTTAATAAGTTGCCCCATGATGTACTACTGGTGTCCTCTGGATGTGGGTTTCCCATAACAGCCTGCAAAAATCTTATATTCATCTGCAGCGAGGTACACTTTCTATAAACAATTGTTTCCTTTAATCATTTTTGGGGGATTTGGTGAAATAGATATCAATTAGCCATTTTTAATACTTTTATCTTCAGATTAGAATTTTTGAAGTCGTTCTTATATCAAAGGAATGGCAGAAAAGGAGAAATGACACCTGTCTTTTTGCCTCTAAATTCTATCCCATTTGGTGTCAAGTACCTTTTAAAATGAACTCAGCTACAGTATAGTCTCTTTTAAAAAGATTTAGATATTTAATAACGACAAATGACCATGGTTCATTAATTTGTGATTCTTTTCTTTCTTTCTTTTAAAGATAGTGTTTTTAGAAGAAGCTTCCCAACAAGAAAAGCTGGCCAGAGAATGGGGCTTCAAGCCGTGTGAAGTCAGAGAACTCAGCCACCAGTAAGTCGCAGCCAACTTCCCTTTTGCTGGACGACACTAACTCATCTCAAATGATAGGAAACCTGCCTTGGGAGACAGAAAGGCTCTTTCTTTTTTTTATTGAGAAGTGAGATGGGAAGGGGAAGGTAAATAGAGAACAGGAAGCTGGAGGACAGAAGCTTTGAGAACTAGAGGCTGCCATCATGCATTTATTTATTCAGCAAATATTTGTTGAGCTTACTGTGTGCAAGAAGCGGGATGTGGAGGTGAAAATGCTCTCCAAAGTCTTTCCTCTCCGAGGGTTTACAGCTCTTGGAGAACAGAGTGTAAACAAGTGCGTAGATACACAAGCACGACAGTGATGGTCGTGCTGCCTCTGTAAGGAGGTGAAGAGGGCGTGTGAGAGACAGAAGCTATGGAAGGGAGAGTGGGGAGACGTGGGAGCAGTAACTCGGACAGCGTGGCTGGGGAAGACCTCGCTCCACAGGGGCATTTGAGCTCCGAATTTATATTCCAACTACTTTTAGCAGTTTTTATTATTTGTGCAAAATGTGTTTCCTATGATTGGCTCATTTGTTTCATAGCCTTGATTTGTTTCATAGTTGATTTGTTTTATAGAAATGGGAATACGTTTTTTAAACTCAAAGATTTTATCTTGCTTCAGGCCAAGTATGTTTCTGAAGTCAATAAAAGCTCCAAAGTCAATCAAAATCGTTTTTATTCTAAAATATTTTTGTAACTTGGGAAGTGACTTTAGGGTAGTGAGGAGAACACTGCAGAGGAATTAGGACACCTGGCTTGAATCCTCACACTAAGGCTTTGCTGTTAGATGGAAAGCAAGGCGCTTCCCTTCTTTGAGCTCATCTCCTAGGCTGTTAGCAAAAGCATAGTCCTACTTAATGTGGACACTTTGTCCCCTGCAGCAGACCTGTAAACTGGGCCACCCCCAAGGCTTTGAGGTGGAGGGCAGGCCACCGTCCAGAGAGACGGCGTGACTAGTTGAAAAGTTTGTTGCACTTACATTTGTACTCACATCTATCTCCTTCCCTCTGGCTGCTGCCTTTCTATGGGCTTGGAAGTACGTGGGCAATGGGCGTGGAAATGAATCCAGTCACTTCTGCTGTTGCCATATGCCTCCTCTTGCTAGATTTTCATGAGAATGTAGGTTGAAGAACAACTGACATTTCTAGTCCCCTGCTTGTGTGCCTTAGGGGTTAGAAGAAAGCTTGGGAGTGGACGCGATGGAGTTGGGAAGGAGTGAGAGGACCATGGACTGGCTGCAGGATGGGGAGAGGTGTGAACACATCTGTGGGTCTTCACATCCTTTTGTTCCTCTTTATGAGGCTGCTTTTGGAGTTAAATCCATCAAACAAATGTAGATTCCAAGGGACTTGTAAATACCACACACAAAAAATTGGTAAGGGAGGAAAAAGTTTAAACTTTGGTAGAAGACTGAAGTCTTTGAAAAAAAAGTCATATTTAAAATGCAAAGTAATTCTTCTATTAAACACGTAAGATATGTGCAGTTGAATTTCTTTAAGTTAGGATTAAAATACCACAGAAGATGGTACCTCTGACAGTCTGTTTAATAGATTCAGTGTGTCTACAGGTCTGTATCAGCACAATGTGGGTTTTTTTTTAAAAAAAAAATGAACATTACGACTGGAGCATTGTGAGTGATGCTTGTGTAGGAGTGGGTCAGATTGTGGCCATGGACCAGGGAGAGGTTGGCAGGACCAGGATTAGGGTGAGGCGAGTGAGGCGTTCACCTTGGGCACAGAATTTAAGGGTGATGGAAAGGGCAAAAAACTCAGGGATCAAGATAAATAATACTTTATTGCGATATTTTTGTTAAAAATCAAAATTAATGCAAAAAAATCCATGAGGAACAAAATGCTAAAATTTTAAGTAAAGACAGATGTTGTTGTTTGTTTCACACTCATGCATTTTTGTGCAACACAACAGTCATTTTCACAGAGCCCAGGGCTCCCAGGCCCATGAGACCATCGCATCTCCTGTGGGGCATATTCATGAGGGTTGACAATGGTGTGTGAATAGATTGGGCAAATCAGACCTTATGTACAGTCCTGTGTTTTGATTGTAGGGCTTTTATTAATGTTTTCCACTTGGTTAAAAGATGGGTGGATGTTTTGATAAGTGTCTATAGGGGCACCGTGTTCTTCTTCCTCAGATTCTGATATAACCTGGCCGGCGTTGTAGGTTTGGAATATGAAGTTGATGGTTTTTATCTGGGGGAATCCGCGATATTCTAAGGGAATCAGGATGGTGATTAAGTAAAGTGCAAAGAGGAAGGCTGAAAAGCAGAAGGAGAAAGGAGAGCTTCTCCACCTTCTGCTTCAGCTTCCTAGTGCCATCTTGGCTTTGCCTGCAGCTTGACTTGTGATGGCTATGATTTAGCTGCAAGTGATGTCTTGAGTGGAGAACTGAGCCCTAATCCTGGCTGGGCCACTAATGAATTGCATGGCTGAAAATGAGCTCTCTCTACAAAATGAATGGTTGGGCTCAGTGACCTCTAATCTCACATGCAGCTCTGACAGTCCACACTCCTGTATGTGCCAATGTCTGTAATATCCTGGACTGTAACTTTGATTATGTGAATGTTTCTACTAATAAGCATTTCACAATGCTTCCTGTTTCCCAGAAAGGATTGCTAGCTTTTCTGGAGGAAAGTTACCCTTTAGATGCAATAAATCCTCACTCTTCGGTTGCCTCTGAAGACTTTGTGCCCTGAGTTACCTTCTTTACTCCTTTCATCTCTGCTGCCTTCAGAACATGCTTGGGTTTCTCCTACATGGAAAACAAAAAGTGACTTTCATTCTCCCCTCCATTACCATTCTAATTTTCACTACCAAATATTTTTGCCCAGTACTTTTCTCTTTCACCCATCTTTTGTGTTCATGGCTCTCTCCTCAGCACCTAGGACAGTAGCACGGTAACTAAAACATACTAGAGACTCAGTAAGTACTTACATAAACAAGGACTGAATCCATGTGAAATTGGGTGTCTCTCCAATCATTGCGTAGAAATGAGAGCTCTTGGGGTCTTTCCTGAGGCCACTCATCCTTGACTCTTACAGTTTTTGACCCTGGTCACTGTCATGTACTCCTTCCCTTCATTTCTCTCCTTGACACCTCTCTATCCTGGGTCTCCCTATATCCTCCTGACAATGACTCCTAGACTGAGCATGACCTTCTTCCTCAGCCTCACTCCTTAAGTGGAGGGTACTGTTGACAGTTTAGTTCTGTTCTTCCTTCTACAGAAATTTCTGGCACTACCAACTTCTAGGACCAACTTCTGGAGGTGACAGAGGAGATGCTCAGATCTTAATCTCGTCTTTAACTTTTGTGACCTGTTATCCCACATTTCCAATGGTTTTTTTTTTTGAGACTTGGAGGTCATAGTTTGACTGTAGGCTTAATATGACATCAAATAGACTTTCCTTCTATCTTCTCTATACTTTGTGTCACATGTTCAGCCTCCCATGCTCAAAAACTTACTCTCTCTGACTCATTCCTCTGCTTTGCTTCCTAGAACTAATGAAAGATCAAGTTCCTTCTCTTGTGTCTGTTTCCTTTCTGTTCCCATCACTATAATCTTTCTTCAGAAATCTCATGCTGGAGAGATTGAAGGAGTCACCTGACACGTGCCTTCCATGACCAGGTTCATCTTCCTAATCCTGAGGTTCAATATGTCACAATTCTGCCAAAGAAGATAAGAAACAGAGAAACAAATATCCTCATGATCGCCTCCCTTCTGGCTACAGAATAGTAAATACATGTTAATTCATGAAACTGAGTATTCAAGACCCTTTCCAAAACAACTTTTTGTAGTCGTTTTTAGGAAACATTTTTATATAGTAAATGCATAGATCTTAGTTATATAATTTGATAAATTTTGACAAATGTAGACACCTATGTAACCAACACACCAATTGAGATATAAAACATTCCTATCATCCTAGAAAGTTCCGTGTGCCCCTCCCAACCCCGTGCTGTTTGATTTCTATCACATAGATTACTTTTGCCAGTTTTTGAACATCATATAAATGGAATAACTCAATATGTACTCTTTTGTGTCTGAATCCATTCAACGTAATATTTTTTGAGATTTATCCATATTGTTGTGTGTGTCAGTAGTTCATTCTTTTTCATTGCTGAATAGTATTCCATTGTGTCAATATACCACAGTTTATTTCCTGTGGTATTTGGATTGTTTCCAGTTTGAGACTAGTATGAATAAAGCTACAATAAACACTCTTGTACATGTGCAATCCTTTTTGTAAACATGTTTTATTTCACTTGGGTAAATTACTAGGAGTGAAATTGCTCACTAAGACTCTTTATGTTTTGACCACATCTGCCTCTCTCTTTCCACCTTTCCTCTCTGTCTCTCTCTCTCTCACACACACATACACACACACACACACACACACACACACACACACAGATGCCCTCACTCACCCCTGATCTCCTCAACTAGACTGTAATCTCTTTGAGGACAAGAAGATGTCTTATTTCTCATTGGACTCCCTGCAAGGCTTAGCAGAATTTCTTAAACATGATAGATACTTGGGAAATATTATTTGATTGAACAATTCAACTACGTGACGAAATCACGCTGCCATTCCATTTTATGCTGGTGGAGATGGTAAACGCCCCAAGGACTGAAGTATCCTGGGGAAGTCAGTGACTCTCACCTGAGAGGAATCCATATTTCATCCTCCCTCTCTGCACACCCCCACATTGTAGGCCCACTTATCACTACCTCCTTGTCATACAGGTTGTCACTGCTCTTCATTTTCAGAGTGAATGAAAAGTTCTGTCAAACAGAGGGTAGTGACCAAGAGTACTGAGTCTGCAGACAAACTGCCTGGGTTTGAATGTAGGCTCCAGAGCTGACTAGTTGAATGACTACTTTTTTCAAGCTATTTAAATTTCCTGAGCTTCAATTTACTCTTATGTAAGTGAGGATAACAATACTACTTCATACATTTGTTGTGAGCATTACATCATCATCACAACTAATATTTTTGAGGGCTTTCCATTATCTAGGCACTGTTTCTACACAGGCTAACTCAATCCTCACAACAGCCCTATAGCACTACTATTATCTCCATTTTACATTAGGAGAAACTGAGTCACAGAGGGGTTAAATAACATGTTGAATATCCTACTGCTGGTTTATGGTGGGACCTGAACTCAGAATCAGGTAGTCTGAGTCAGAATGTATATACTTAACTTCTATAATAAACTGTCTCCCACATGCACAGAGAAGCTGTGCCCAGTGCCAAGTGCCCAGTACACATATATCTTCAGTAAACATCACCTGGTGTCACCATCACCATCATCATTATTACCACCATTCCTAGTTCTCATTTTTTTAAAAAATAAGGCATATCTAGATACCCATGGCTTTATTTGTCTTCCGTGTAGGTGGTATACATTTGAATTGGTAATACAAAGGATTCTTTGTTATGTCAAATTTTTAGTTCAAGTTCCTTATGTATATAAAATATAATTAATATTTACTCAGGGTGATAGTGGTGGTGCATACTTTTTAACAAATATCTGTTTGGATGAGATTAGACACTTAATAGACGTCAGTGAACTGGATTAGTTCTTTAGAAAAGCTTTAAGTATCTGTTAGCATTGGGCTGTCTCAATTCTGTGGGTATTACCTCTGAAAACTCTTAAAAACATCTTTGCAAGACTTTCTGTTATAAGAATTAATAGAAATATGACAATTGGTGCATCAGAGAACCAGCAGGAATGATCAGAAGCCACTGGAGAATGGCTGTCGTAGCATTGCAACTATATCTTCTCTTACCATTTACACCACTCACCCAGTGTTACTCTCGTCACCTAAGATTGCCTGTCCCTAACCAGCCTCAGTTTACTCTGGCTGCTGCCCCTAGATCACATGGGAAAGGACTGGATTTCTTGCAGTCAGCCAAGGTCAAGATGACCATTGGGTCTCTAAAGGTGGCTACCCTGTTTCTCGTTCTCGGTCATCCTTAGTGACTTATGGGTAGTTCCTCAGCACAGCTCTAGAAGTTTTGAAGACCCCCTCTCTCATCTTTGCTCTCTGTCCTGCAACCCCAATTGTGAGAACGAAGTCAGAGGATGAAATCAGAACTTCGCTCATGTCTTGTACGACAGCTGCTTTGCTCCTGCTCAGTGCTCTGCTTTGTCTTCCCCTCGTCATCTTTGGTTAACGTCGCACCCGCCATTCCAATTTAGGAGCTGTATCTCTCCTTGCAGAGCTTCATTTTTATTTCCTGACCTCTAAATAATAGTATAATTTACAGTTGCCTGATTGCATTGGCTCTATACCTGGGTGGGGTGAACAATTAAATCATTTCGAGAAAAAACATGATTTAAAAATATGGAAAATGACTAAAGATGTTATTAAATTCTTTTCCTCTCATCTGAATTTCCAGTGAGTTCTTCATGCCTGGGCTGGTTGATACACACATCCATGCCCCTCAGTATTCTTTTGCTGGGACTAATATAGACCTGCCCCTTTTGGAGTGGCTGACCAAGTACACATTTCCTACAGAAAACAGATTCCGCAACATCGACTTTGCTGAAGAAGTATATACCAGAGTGGTCGTAAGTATCCTGCTTCTGATTATTGGTGTATGAAGTTTGGTCATCTATAGAGCCATCCATTTCTTGGGGCAGATTTAAGTTATCAAGCAGAGGCAAGTTAAGGCTGGAATGGACTCTAGCGATTTTTTAGCTCTTTCACAAGCCAGTGAGTTTGTGACCACTTCACCTACACAGCTAGTCACCAGCAAAGAGAGAACTTGAATCCAAATTCCCACATCCCCTGGGCTCTCATTACTCTCTTTTACTTAGTGTGTTTTACTTTACTAAATTTGGGTTTAATGCATGTGTGTGTTCTCTTACTCCTGCCAATCCACAATGCTATTCTGGGGACCATATGGAATAGCTGTGTAACCTTTGCAAAGTTGTGTGACTCATTTTCCCCATCTGTAAAAAAATAGAGATAATGATACTAGCTACTTCATAGGATTATTATGATTATGATAATTAAGCAAGTCAATAATAATATGTGAGATTCTTAGAATAGTGCCCAACACATGGTAAGAACTCTGTGTTTGCTGTAAAAAAAAAAAATACCCAAGGAAATTTAAAATTAAAATTTGAGATTACGGTTAGAAGGATATCACACTATTTTGGTAGCTTCGCAAGGAGGGAAAATAGGATGGACCCCCATTGCCCCGCCTGCGAAGATGTAATGAGCATTAGCACCACTAGAGGCAACTATGGAGCTAGTTCAGTCATTGAACACGGGCTGTAGTGTGTCAACTATATATCGAAGGCTTTGGAAATGTCCTTCCTTCCATTCTCGCAAGAAAATCAGTTCCCTTCTTTCTACTCCAACCGTATGCCCACTCCACTCAGCAACCAGCAAAAGCATCTGCAGTTGAGAATTAAAGCTGCAAATACCTTCCTATCTGACCACTACCTCTTGTCATTCAGCACACTTAGTCTGAACATTCCTGCATTTCTATTGGAGCCATTGATGGTTTTTCTCATAAAGTGATGGCTAGGTGATGGTGACAACTTATAAGCTTTATACAGTGACCTAGCCATCCTGCCACTTTCCCTGGTCTTGCATCATTCAAGCCTTGAGGAGTAAAAGCAAGCTCTATTATTTATACACTTGCCTCGCTTAATTATAAATTCAGTTTAATTGTGGATCTTACATATTTAGCATGCATCCACATGACACCAGAAAAACTGAGAAGCTCTAAAGCTGTGTAGAAGCTACTGGCACATGGTGTTAATGAATTGTGTTAACCACACCAAATCATTTTAGTCTCAAAATTTATTTATACCTTGCATTGTTCCAAAAGAGGGTTTGAGATGTCTTAAAATTGCATGGTATACAACAGAAGAAAATGAGTCACGAAATCACAGCACAGGGAAAAAAAGGGAGGAGGATAAATAAAATAAAATCGAGAGGTAAATGTGTGCCACGGGGGTCAATGCACTTGTTAGAATTTGTCACAGATTTGGCTTTAAGTGTCTAGCAGCTGACCCAGAGAGGGTAATCAGTGTTGAAATTTGCACTGTGTGTATGATAAAAAATAAAACATTTGTTGCTGTGAAGCATATCTATTCCTCATACTGAAATTTAAGAAAATTAATCCCAGTATTCCAATATAGTTACATGCTATGTTGTCAAAATATATATTTTCAAGGTGCTGTAGTATCAAAAATTCCAGATACAGCAGCCTTTTATGTTTAGATAGACTATCTAGAACTATATATCCTTCAGACAATACTCCACAAATATTATTTCCTACATCAGAGATTTGTTTAAGTATTTGATGTCGGGAAATACAAATCAGGTGTTATTCTTGACAAGTGTTTGGAGTATATAAGTCCCATGTTTCTCAGTATGAGTGGCCCACACACTTTAAGAGTTGGATGAGCTGAGGGTATGGTTGACATCTGTTTAAGAAAGTTAAGATTTGTTAACTACAACCTGTCCCTGGGCTGAAGACTGCCCATGGCCATATAAAGGGGTGCCAGGGCAGTACCCATGAATAGAACCAAGATTTTTTGTCTCCCTCAGACTACACTCCTAGATCTATACTTCAACAAATGGGCAATCAAGACCCTAGAGTTTTGCACCATAGATTTTGACAGTGATTGCTCGATCTGCAAATAATTTAAAGTGTATATTAGCACACATCTCCTGAGATTATTAAGAAAAATATCCCAGTAAGTCAATCCTGGAATGTCTCCCTTTAAACATTGCAAAGTGGGTGAGGGATTGAAGTTTCAAATTTGACTGGAATGAACTAAAAAGACTAGAAAGTTCAGGAATCTATTTATTATATAGCTTATAGTCAAAGAACTTGGGAGTAAGATTCTTGGTAAATGTGCCAAGACAAACTAGTTGCAAATATTCTCCTGGATAAAAGAATGAACATGCTTACTCTATGGGGTTCTCAAAGATTCGACGATGAATCCAACTAATTCCAAAGGGGTATTAGGTCATCAAAGTACGAGGTGAAAAGACAGGGAGTCAGGCCACTCATTTTCCCCTATTTCAGCTAATGGAAATTGTCTAATCTGTTAAGAGGTCATTGCTACTGGTCTTGATGCTCATGGTCATCTTAAGTTTGGAATCTATTTTGAGCTCAAAAGACTTGGTCTCAAGACTCTTCTTGTCAAGAATTGAAGGCTGAGTAAAGGTTAGGAAACAGCCAACAGTTTGATGTTATTCCTGATACATTTCTTTATAAAGAGGAAAAGTACAAAATCATCGTTAATGGAAGAGCTCTCTTGAAAGCTTATGAGAAACTGGGGTGGAATGGAGCCAGGGAAGCCCAAACATAAAATATATGAAGACGGAAGTAGCTGCATTTTAGATGGCCTGTCTAGTAAGATTTTTAAGCCAAGGTCTTTTCTTATTTTTTTCAGTTACATAAATCACACACATGTGGCTGCTCTGTTAAATGGGCTGAACGCAGTGGGAACAAACAGGAGTAGCTTTGGGGATTCTTTTCGCCTTCTTTCCCTACCTTCCTTCCTTTTTCTTCCCCTCCATGCGCTCTCCCTGTCCTGTCCTTAGTTATAATTCGGGCAGATTCTTGAACCTTCTAGTCTTTCTAGTTCCTTCCAGTCCAATTTAAAACTGCAGTTTCTCATCCGAAAGTTTTTCTGGATGGGAAGCCTTCCACCCTGATGGGTGGTGTGGGTGTCTGTCTGGGTAGCACTTCCATTGTCCTCAGTGCTAAACAGCCGAAATTTTCCATTTTGATTTCGTCTTCAAGCCCAGGTTTTAGAAAGGTGTTTAAACTTGTGAGAATTTAGAAAATGTTAGATTATGCTTCTGTTTTAATTTTGAGTTTCATTTTATTCTGATTAGTAAATGTAACTTGGATGATTATTTTTCTTGGGAATTAACTGCCTGGTATTTTATGACCTAACAATTTTTATTTTGCACATTTTTAAAAATACTATGTTTTCTCTGTCAATATGACATTTTTTATATCTCTGTTAGATTAAGTTAAAAGTGTTAGACAAGTCTTCTCTCATTTCCCTCCATCTTCTCCCATATAGCAAGACAAGAACCCAACATACTCTTCTTTCTTCACAGTATGACTCCCCATGTCCTGTGTTATATCATCTGAGGTTTTAGTTCTGGTTTATTTTTTTCACCATCTACACTTAATTTAAAATGTTTTAGATTTTAAATTTAATATCCTAAAATTTATTTTAATTTAATTCCAGTTTGTTATTTTCAACATCTGCATTTAATTTAACAAAGGGCTTTCTTTTTCTTTTGCTATTTGGATCCCTTGTCTTCCTTTGGATTCATTTTTCATTTTCATGGAATGTAGCCTCTGATAAGCCTTTCCAATAAGGTGGGTGAGAAACTTCCAAATCCTTGAATAACCGGAAAAAAAAAAAGGTGTTACTTTGTTTTGACTCTTGAATGATATGCTTTAGCTGTAGAGAGAATTCTATTTGAAATTGTTTGCCCACCAGCATCCAAAGTGTTGATGTCAATCTGATTCTCATTCCTTTTTAGCTAATTTGCTGGCCCTTGGGATTTTCTTCATTCTTGATGTTCTGAAATTTCACTTATAGATCTTTTTTTCAGTTCATTGTCTTTAATATATAGTTCTTTCTTATAAGAACTCCTGTCTTTCTTTTGTTGTGGGAAATAAATTTCTCTCCCTCTCTCACACATTCGTTCTCTCTCTCTCTCTCTCTCTCAGTATATTCTTCCCTCCAATCTGCCCTTTCTTTTGGTAACTCCTATTAGAAAAATGTTGACTCCTCTGTATATACTTCTGTGCTGCCTTCTTAGAGAATGCTGCGGCCCAATTTTGCATGTCGTTAATTCACTCTTACTGTTATAGTAGCCTATTCCTCTTTCAAGGATACGAAGTCCTATCCTGTTCACTTAAGGATCCTAATTTTAGTTCATTTTATATCTCTTGTTGTTTTAGACATTCTGATTCCTCAAGTGTTCATTCAGCAAATATTTTCTGAGCACATACTGGGATCCAGGCTCTTTTCTCGTTGCTGGAGTTAATTCGATGCCTCAGTCATGGTATTAGCTTTCTCCTGCATTTGTGTCCTGATAAGAGCTAGTCCATCCTTCTCTGTGGCTAACAGGCTCTAAACATCCTCTACTGGTAGCCAGATTTATTTTCTTTAATGTGCAGAGTGTCTTAAAATTTGACAAGATTGACATAAAAATCCAGATTTCATTCTCTTGACCTTTGGGACTAAGTGACATCATTGGGCTCTCATTTGGTTTTTTTCAACAACTGGTTGTAGCTGAGTGGAGGCTGCTAAGATAGGGCATATTCTTCCCTATTATTTTAAGTCCCAATTGCTTTACTCCTGCAGACATTTGAGTTCCCAACCCAAACCCTGTTCTAGTTGAGAAGGCACTCATTTCACACGTGACGAAACTGATGTTGAGAAAGTAAAGCGACTTTCTCAAGGTCACATAGCTCATAATATGCAAGAAGCAAGTAAGAACCCCAGTCTGAAGGTTTTCCTCTGCACTTTAAAAAGCTTCTGCTGTGTGTGGGTGCTGAGGGTATAGGGCATATCTCTGTGCCTTCCTCTTGATTTTGCTATGAACCTAAAACTGCTCTGAAAAAATTGTCTTAACAATAAAAAAAAAAAGAAGAAAAAAAAGCTCCTACTAAAGACAGACCCCACTCAGGTCAACCGGTAGTTTTTCCAAGTGCTCAGACGGGTCAGGCAATATCACTTCCATTTTCTTTCTTGAAATCTTCCCTCCGCCTCGAATCCCCTTGTTTCCCTCTGCTCAGAATTCTCTTTGCACTCCTGTCATCTGGGCATTCCCTTTGCCTCCCCCCTGTGTTTAATTCCTATTTTCTGGATCTAGGAATTCCTTTGCTTTGCATCACTGTCTCATTTTGTTAAAACACATCTTCTGGGAGCTTCAAAAGAAGGGAAAAGTTTTCAAGTCTTTGTATATCTCATTATATCTCTTTTCCGCCTTCACACTTGACTGATGATTTACCAGGGTATAAAATTCTACACTAAAAATAACCTTCCTCCAGAATTTTGAAGGCGTTGTTCTTCTGCTTTCAGCATTACTGGTGATAAATCCAGTGCCATTGTGATTCCTGTCATTCGTCTGTGATGGCTTTTCTTTTTCTGGAAGCTTTTAGTATCTTCTCTTCACTTGTAGGCTTACTATTTCACAATTGGGTGCTTTACTTTGGCTTCTGTTTTTCGTTCACTCTGCTGAGCACTCTGTGAGGATTTTCAGTTTGGAGAATAGTATTCTTTTTCAGACAACTTCAGACCCTCCATTTCCTTTTCTTAAAAAAATTTTTTAGAACTCTTATTCTAACTGTTGGACCTCCTAGATTGAGCATAATTTTCTTGTCTTTTCACCCCTGACTTCTCTGTTTTTCCCTGAGAAATTCTCTTCTAATTTACCCTACAACCCTTCTGTTGACTTCCAAATTTTATTTTTAATGATTTTACTTTCAAAGAGCTCCTGTTCTCTGGTTTTCATAGCATTCTGTTCTTGTTTTTTGGCTACAATATCTTCCTTTATTTCTTTGAGAATATTAATCACAGTTTTTTTCAATCCAGCTTCCTTCTGACCCTATAGATTGCCTGTTTCCTCCAAGATTTTTTTCCATATTCTTTCTTCATTCCCTTCTCCTCTTTTTTACAGTAGCTTTCCTCTAGTGTCTGCTGAAGCTCAAATGTGCATTCGTATTTAAGTGTGATGCTCCAAGATGCTGGCTAGAAGATCTGGGTGGGGGTAGCACTTGTCGACTGGTGAACTTCATTATAGGATGGGCACTGAAGGAGTGAACAGCCTTTTAAGTTGTGGGCCCCAAATGTCATTGTGAGGACATCTTTCTTCTAGAGCCATTCATCTTCTCTAGGAAAGAGTCCTTCAGTCCTGCCAGGAGTGGTGGGAGTAGTACTTGTGGCATTTGGGGGAAGATGACCGAGGGTCCCAGAGGTCAGCCAGATATCCGCTTGAACCTCTTCTTCTCAGCCTGTGCCTCACTTTGTCTTTTGGGGTTGTTCTCTCTAAATACTACCCAGTTTCTACAAAGAGTAAATCCCTTCCACAAGGCACTGGTTAGGGGTGGTTGGCTGATTTCAACAGGGAGGAGCAGGGTCCCGCCAGGGTTTAATCATCTGTCTACAGACTTTCAGCCACTTCCCTGTAACAACCATGTGCTTCTCTCTCTCTCTTTCCAAGTGGCCTCCAGGTTCTCATCTATGTTTTTTTCTACCAGGAAGGTGTTGAAATGTTTTCTCTGGTCAAGGCTCCTCTCTTCTTATGCGTTAATAAATTTTATAGCCCTTTATTGCTGTTTTGGTGGAAATTTGCTGAGGAAAGGAGACAGATACATGTGACCAATCCACCAGGTTGAACTAGAGGATTGGTTGAGTATTGCATCCTGTAGTAGATAGAAAAATCTCATTTATTCACTCCTAGATGCAATAAAGTTTGCTATCCTTAAACAATCCTAAAAGATAAGGAACTAATTAGTACCACTTTTTATGAATTCTGCGACACAGACTGTCTGATTCCAGGAAGTCAAAAGTACCAGCGTCTCCCCCAGCTAACACTTTTGAAATATAAATACTTTTGACATTTACCTTAACCGTATTTCATATCAAGATGGGATACCTTTAAATAAAAGCATTTTAAAATTAAAAACTAGGATTCTATTTTCATCTGTCTAGGCCACGTGACTTTTCTGGGCACACGCGATTCATGGTTTTGTGATTTATTTTTAGAGGAGAACACTAAAGAATGGAACAACCACCGCCTGTTACTTTGCAACAATTCACACTGACTCATCTCTGCTCCTTGCAGAAATTACAGGTGAGGAGATGAAAGTGTGGTTTACGGGCACATCAAGCAGACAGCCAGACCAGGCCTGACAATGACTTATACTTGTGAGCAGTCCTGACTTTTCATTGCTAGAATTTGTGCATTGCATTGCTTGCGAGTAATTAGGTATTTGTGTATCACTGTGGCCCTTGAATTTTTTTTCTGTTGTCTAAGTAATTTGATTATTTATTTTTGGTTTTTGGTTGCAGAATGATGTATATGGGTCTGAACTTTGTGTATTAATTTAGGGCTTTTTGGGAACAGGTTTACTAATTCCAACAGTTTATTATAATCAGCAGATATGTCTGGGTGTTGGCTAGACTCAGGGCACTGTGTCAGATGCTGGGAACACAATGAAACAGAAAATAGTCTCTGCCCTTCAGGAGCCAGACTAATGCCTTTGCGGATTAACTGATTAAGAAGTACACACGTTGATTAATAGCTTTAGTGACAGCTATAGTGCTCTTACTAGATGCCTGGTGTTGTGCAAAGAACCCTACGTGGATTATCTTGGCTCAGCTGCAAACAGCCTTCTGAGGTAGTTTGTAACGTCCCCTTGTTACAGGCGGATAAACTGATGCTCAGAGAGGTTATGTAACATGCCCAGGTCACAGCTCGTAAGCAGACCTGAGACTGGATTTTGATTGCTGATTCCAAACTCGTACCCAGCACGGTGCCTACCACATAGCAGGTGCTCAGTAAATACTGTTGACTGATGTGCTGACACTGCTGCTGGCTGGCCAAGGTAGTTTATGCCAAAGGCCTGAGGGTGACACTGAAAGTAAAGACGGCCACTTTTGGAGGAGGGAGAGTGAACTCAGTATTAGATCCTCAGGGAAGACTTCATTGAAAGGACCTTTAAACTGGGCTTTGAAGGAAAGATAAAATGGGGAGAGAGGAAAATGCCTTTCAGATGGGGAGAAATGGCATGGACAAAGGTGTGGGGGCAGGAACATCCAGAGTGGACACAGGAAGCAGGGAACAGAGCAGCTGAACTAGAGGAGAGGATTCATTGCTCGGTGGGGCAGGAGAGGAGGCTGGGGAGATGGGATGGTTCAGACAGTGGAGAGATTGGAATATGCATCAAAGACTCAAAAAGGCTTTTGAGCCAGATGAGGAATGTGATGAAGGTGGTGTTTTAAGAAAGAGTAATCTAATGGCCAGGTATTAAGATGAATTACAGGGGAGAGACAGAGGCAGAAAGACTTTTGAAAGTCTCTTATGACAGAGATAGCGACCTTGGAAAAAAGAAAATTAACATTGCCCCATGTAGTTCAGCTTCCCAGCTGAAGCAGAATACCTCTAATGAGGACTAGGTTCTTTAGTGCTGTGAGCTGCTAGTAGGACTAAGTAAATTTCCCCACAGATAATAATATTGACATTGCTACAGTTAAGAATAGCAGCAGTATCTTTTCTAAGCCGGATGTGCCAGACACTTTATATACATTATTGGCTATATTCCTCATAACCCTGCACACAGCACAGGACACTGGGCACATAGGGTTTAGACCTTAGACAAATAATATCCCCTGTCCTGGGAGTAATCAGAGGAATAAGACGTCAATGGAAGAACCTTTACTACTTACAGAATGGAGTGGGGTTCTGTTGTTATTGTTCTTAAATGGTGTGATGATCTTTTACATTCTCATGTTTTCATAATGATTTTAATTCAAAAATGTTTTTAAAAGGCTCAGGAAAGGTACCGTTTGGGAAAGAAACATGTCTTTAGACTCTTTTTGTGTGTGCCTCACAGATAAATTTGGGCAGCGGGCATTTGTGGGCAAAGTCTGCATGGATTTGAATGACGCGGTTCCAGAATACAAGGAAACCACTGAGGAATCAATCAAGGAGACAGAGAGGTGTGTTCATCTTGCTTTGTCCTGTGGGTGGTCCCTCTGCTTCACTGATGGTGTCAGAGATGGAGAGAGGAGCCCTCTCTGAACCAGGAGGGGTGTGCACATATGTCACTGTGTGGGTTTGCCCAACTTTATGAAATTAGTCTGGTCCTAAAAAAAATCATTGCATGTCAATGCTATTTTTGTATATGAAATTATATTTTAAAGCCTCTGGGAACTCGCCATAGGAGTCCCAGGGTGAATCCCTTTGTAAAATGAAGGCTTCTTTTTTAAAGTAAATGATTTAGCTGCTCCCTCTCCTTTTTTATAGATTGGGCTTCTCCTGTAGATTGGATTTGCTTGAAGTGTGTATGGCCTGCTCATTAAATTATTTTGGGTTGTGGGTCATCCTATTGCCTGAGACCATGAGTGTTTGTTGTGTTCTTTTTATATTACGTTGGGATATTCCACTGATGCTATTAGTACTTTTTCTACATTTCTTTAATGACTTTTCCATGGTGCCTTTAGGATTTGACCAGGAATTGTGTTGTGTGACACTCAACATCCAAGAGATATAGAAGAAAATTCTTTAGATTTAAATGTTCCTCAAGACCAATGGTATCCCAATGCAAGTTTTAGAAGTCTAACTTTTCGCCATTCCCCAGGTCTGCTTCACCTTAAGTATGTCCCCTGAAAAGGGCAGCTTAGGGGCTGCTGCGTGCTCACAGAGAGAAGGAAGCACCACCTTCCTCTTAGCATAGGCCATATGCTCAACTTTTCTACGAATCCGTGTTTGTGGTCATACTAAACCTTAATTCACATTTTATTCTGAAACAAAGGAATACCAGAAGGCAGGAAGCTATAGCTAGTCAGTGTTTCCAGCCAGGGCAGAAATAGCCATTTCATAGGCCCTATAGATACCACCGTCCCCGCAGGTATCATTGGTAAGATCACCACCCCTGTCACTACCCAGTTCAAAACCACTTCTGGCCTTTTCCTTGTGTCTTCCTCCAACATCCATGCCCAGTAGGACTCTGCCTTTGAAATAACTGATGATATTGTATAAACAAGTAGCTTCCACTTTATGGAAATTAGGAGTAGAGAGCCTCATGGCTTCTAAATGCCTCCAGGTGCATAGGACTCCAGGACTCTAATATCCATGGAGCTCTAATATCATATATTGCAATATTCCCTCAAACAGAGTGTAAGCTAGTAGGAGCGCTTGAGTGCTGTGGGAATGCTCGTGAACAGCCCAGCTCATGTTAGATGATAAGATTGCATTGCTCTGTGATTTTGCACTCCATCTCTCTGGCTGCAAATGAAAAAGCAGAGTAATTACTACTTGTTAATCTTTAATTAGTGGTGGTGAAACATGTGCAGCATTGGAAATGCTTGCATGGAAATTAGGACACGTGCAGATCCTGTTTGCACCCTTTTTCAAAATTTATTTGAAAATGCCTAGATTTTCTAACCTCCCATTCATTGCTTTATTTCAGATTTGTGTCAGAAATGCTCCAGAGGAAAGTAAGTAAACTCGTTCCCAGCTTGTTTTTGGATTGCGTTTGTGTTGATTGTAGAGTTCGTTATTAAGCTGTTTGGCAGGGATTTGTCTGTGTTTGTTTAGCTTATCCCATGCATGCAGAACTATTTTCCTAGAACCTTAAATTGTCTTCACAGTGGACCCATCAACTCAGCTCAGTGAGGTCAGACATTTTTTGCTTTCTCAGTGGGTTTTCCCTCCCTCTCCTCTGAAAGCTTCTAATTTCACAAGACTGGTCTCTGGGGAGGGATTCATGGATGTGGATAGATTGGTGGCACCTGGAAGTTATGGCATAATTTGTTGCTACATCAGCCTTGGCTCTGGCCTCTTGTGCCTCTTGATCAAACACAGGTGATGTCCACCCTGATGCCCCAGCCCAGGCTGCTTTGGTCCATATATGTGTGGCATGTCACATGGCCTGTATGCACTCAGCTAGGCCCCCCCTTTGCAGCATTCTTGCATCGTGAGTCAATGGAGGCAGTGCTGTTTCCTGCCAGCACTCCCAGCAGGCTGGTTTGTGGCTCCATTTTGCAATGTCTTAGATTGGCAAGGCAGACCTGTCCCTTAATATCTTTCGAGGTCTCACTGGAAACCATAGGAAACCTCAGAATTTCCTTCAATCAGATCTTGGGAGACCTAGGTGGACCTTTGTGGATCGTTATCCTCACCACCCCTCTATGAGTCCTCTCCTGCTCGGCCTCTCACCTCAGGTGACATCCGAGCGAATCCTGCAACAAAATAGGCCTGAGGGAGGCCATGGCCAGCAGCCCTCCCCAAGATGTCGAAGGGGAATAGGCCACCACCTCACGTTTAGTCTCCCCAGTGCTCTCCTTTAAAACTTCTCCATCTGCCTCCTAATTGTCTTCATAAAGACCACCTAGTCTGAGCCTCGGCTGAGCCTCCATGTGGATGTGGAGCAGGAGGAGTCTTTCATTTGGGATGGGATCTTTTTCCATTGAACTGGGTGCCACAGAATATACTCTCCTCTGTCCTCAGCTGTGTGCAGTTTCCATGAAACCCGGCCGTTCCACCCACTCTTAGAATGGGACAGTGTCCGCAAAAGGACGTAAAATCATCTTGTTGTATGATATGCATTTGGGGGCATGCTACACATTCATGACATCCACAGTTTCCTTACCAGCTGTTTTGGATTATTTCCAGTATTCTAGAGTGAAGCCCATAGTGACACCACGTTTTTCCCTTTCCTGCTCTGAGACTCTGATGGGTGAACTCGGAAACATCGCGAAGACCCATGATTTACACATTCAGGTGGGCATTATTTTCCTCTTTGTGCCTCTGTCCAGATCTGCAAGACTTCTCAGTAGCCTCAATTCCAGCAGTAATCTCCAGTTTTCTACTGAGATCTCCTAGGGATACAGCATCATGCAACAGGAAGGGCCCTTACAGACACCACCTAAATCCAATCCTTTAATTTTTCAGTAAGAAATCTCAAGGTCTTTTACCCTCAGTCTTCTCTGATCTGGCTTTGAGAGACGAGGACATAAGTAACCAAGCGAGACGGATGACAAACTGGTTCCCTAGTCTCTGTAGGGTACATTTAATGCATTTCTTTCCTACTTCTCTTTGATTTGATACTTTCTCAGTGTCCTAGTCCTTCATTTTTTTGGAGGAACCACTTATAATTTGAAAAGCAAGAAGAGCCTAATTTCTACCTTACAAAAATGCATTTGAAAGCCCTTTTGTTCTGAGTTTCTTAATTTAAAATGAGGAACAAAAAAAGTTTACCTTACTTTGTCATTAAGTGGTTGCAATTTAGGAATAAAACACTTTTTAAAGCTTCCAGCTGGGTTAAAATCGGGAGCTGGGAGCTCCTCTTTGCCTATCCAAGCACGTACTGCACTAAAATTTTCCCTCTTGGGAATTGACTGTCTTATAACAAAGGACAAGTCACGAGAAAGGCAACACATGATTCTTTACCTTTTTGTAGGGTGGCATGTGTTTTGTTTGTGTGTTTGTTTTTTAAAGATTTATCTTCTTAGGGCTCATTCACTATTCCCAACGCCCCTCTCCCTTTTTTTGGGGGGGGGTCTATGGAAGTTTTGATTCAATCCCACACAAGTGTAGGGGAGGAAGAAGTTTTCCTTGGCCCTCTTGGGATCTCTGAGTGGGTTTGAAAATTAAACTGACAAAGATAGATTAACAGGAGAAAAGTGTACAAATGTATTAAATGTAAGTCTTACATGTCACGGGAGCCTTCGTGAAGAAATGAAGACCCAAAGGAATGGTTAAATCTGAGTATTTTTATGCTCCACTTGATGGCAAGAGCACAGTGGTGGCGGAATATGATAGGTTGAGGAGTACGAGGGAAGTGTAGTAAGAGGGGAAACTTAGCAAGGCCTGTTTGTTAGGATTCTTCTCAGTGTCCCTTTGGGTTCAGAAATAAGGATGCTCCTTTCCTCTGGATGTAGGGAAGGCACACCTCACATGAGGGTCTTATGACCTGCTTCAGGGGAGAAGGGAGGGGGAATTTCAGAGTGACCTTCCTGCTTCTGCCATTTTCTCAAACTCCATCAGCTTAAAATATTCAATATGCCAAGGTGCCATATTTTGGGGTAGCATGTCCCGAACCCCATCAACATGCAACAAAATCAAGTATATCCTTGCTTAGGTATATGTACGTGCATATGTGCATTTACTCAAATTTATCAAAATGAAATGAAGCATCTGGTTGTCCTTTCTTCTCCTCTGATGCCCATACATTTCTTCAGTGGTCTGGATTTCCTCAAGGCCAGAGATAGAGCTCACACTCTAGATGGAACGCTCTAGTTTTAGAACATTGCTGTGTTTCCTTTTACTTATTTGGCTATGCATACTCTTCCTCATAGAGACAGGGAAATGGCATTGCCATTCTTAGAAGTGGTAACTTGCTCATGAGTTATTTTCCATAATATATGCTCATCACTAGTTGGTCTGAAATTATTTTTGTTTTAGGCTGGGGGTTGGGGTGGTTGCACTTAAGTATCGTGTCTTACAAATACTTTATGCCCTCCAAGGTTTTGTGGTACCCTGGAGAAACAGCAGCATGGGGGCCAGCTCTCACTTGTTTTATTTACTCTTGGATTCTAATGGGCTCTTTCTTGGTGACTGCAGGATTGTCTAGCTCAGTTATTTTCCAACTGTTTTCTGCAGAGAAACTCATTCTGGAAGCCGACAAAGGGGATAGAATGGGGACAGGGTCCCAGAGTCCCAACCCTGCTTCATCCTGAGAAGCAGCTTACTTATGACTATTACATATTGGATTTCTATGAATTTTTACATGAATAACATATCCAAAGCTAAAAGAATTTGGAAAATCACTCATCTAGCCCAGCTCCTTTATTTGAGAGATGAAAAATGGAGACCCAAAGAAAAGAACCAGCTCACCCAAAGACACACCTAGGGTCAGAACCTAGGCTAAATTTCAGCTGTCTTTATTCAAATTCCAGTTTTCTTATGAGTGAATCATGCTTTGTGTCCTTCTGATAGCCACTGAACTCTTTTCTTAAACTGTCAACACCAGAAGAAGCAGGTAACAACCAATAGCTAGGCTCTTGACTCTCTTCAAGGAGCGCTTTTCCTTTTTATTTGTTCTTGCTATAAATTGGAATTTGAAAAGACTTTGTTGAAAGAATATTACATGGGTTAGGGTTAGAAGATTATATGTTCAGTTTCCTTGTCATGTACATGCTACATTTTATATACAAGATATATAATTGTTTTAAATAAAACACATGTATAATCTTTGTTGTCTTTCTATGTGGTCCCTTACAAGCAAGTAGAAACCATCCATATCGTTTTGGCTTAGGAAGTATAATTTCTAATGGTATTTTAAGTTAAAAAATTGAAAATATTCTTTCTTTTCTTCTAGAGCCATATAAGTGAAAATCGTGATGAAGTTAAAGCAGTGAAAAACTTATACCCCAGTTATAAAAACTACACTGATGTGTATGATAAAAACAATCTTCTGACAAGTAAGGTAAATTGCATATCATGACATAGTCTGTGTAAAGTAGGGCATATTTATCTAAATTTTAAAATGTCAGTGGTAATCTTCAGTCTTCCGTAATATGCATGCATTTCCCAAACTAGAGTAAAGCTCAGCGTGTGCATATGTGTATGTGTATATAGTTAAAACCAGCCTGAAGTTTCATCTTAGTAAATAAGTCTGAAGACTTCATTGAGGGTAGGAATGTCATTTAGTCCATGGACATTTTGTCAGTATCTGTTAGAATGTAAATGTGCATTCCTTTGAATTAGCAGATGCATTTCTAAGGACCCATTCTGCAAGGAATATGAATAGGGATGTTAATTACATATGGAAGTTAAAAAATGGCTATCAGTGGGGGATTGTTTAGATTATAAGACATACCTAATTAGAATTTTACCCAACATTCACAAAGAATGAGGTATAAGGGCTTACAAGGAAGAATGTACAGTATTGTTTGATGTATGTGTATATATGTGTGGGTGCATGCTCACTTAGAAAAAATTTTCCGGAAGACATACATTGAATGTTAAAAGTGATTCTTCCTGAGGGAGAAAGCAGAATGACGTTTTACTTTTTATTTTTAAACATCTGAGTTTGCTTTTTTTAAAAAATGAGTATATATTGTTTCCATAATTAAATGATTTTAAGTTAATTAAAATAATGTGAGCAAAGAGGGACCTCATTCCAATATACCTCTTGTCCTTGGCCTTCAATGAAATGTACAAACTGCATTGAAAGTTTAACTACTGTAGCAAATAAATTCTTAGGGACTATATAAATGGAGATGTGACTATGACTAATTTGAAAGGTTAATACTCTGCAAAAATCTTGTAAATGCTACACCATAATTTTCATCCTCTTTTACATATATTTCCATACGATTAATAAATTAACTTTCAATTTGCATGCTAATTTTATTTGCACAGAGCTTGGGAAAATTTTATTTTAATAATAATTCTGTGGTCACTGAACCATGCCTCCTAAAGGGGAAAGCTATTTAGCTACAGGTTTTGCACTGAGCGAAAAAAGAATTTTGAAAGAGTAAAGTCTTATTCAGGAAAACCCACAAATGTTAAGACTAAAAATGAAGAGAAATTTTTATGTTCGCAGTGCCCGCCTTCTTGGACCAATTTTGCCTTCTGAACTAAGGCTTATAAGATATTACATTTCCTAATTTTTATGAAAATGTGAATATAGGTGATAAAATAAATAAAGTTGAATTGGTTATATGTGTCAAGATCATTGGTGTCTATATTTAACCAGGAGCAGAAATAAAGAACAGCTCTTTGCAGATCACTCCCATAGCTTCTAGGTACTGAGGAAGGAAAGTTTACTTCTGGAAAATTCTGATTAGAATTGGAACAAGCACAGCTCCACCAGTTGCTCACCACGTAGACTTACAAAAGAGAGTAACTTGGTTATTTTCTAAAGTGGAGATGAAGGAATCATAGTATCTTCAAACTGGATGGATACCCTGTGCAATAGACCACCTGAACCAACCCTCATTATTTTATAGATTCAAAAAACGGAATGTAAGATCCAGAATTTTGCAAGTCTTTTGTGATCTAATGTTTTTTTCAGGCCTCTTTTCAGGTGTAATTTGTACGCAGTGATTTTTATACATACAGGTAATCATAAATGTTCTTGTGAAGATGCTAATAGACAAGTCACAGCTCTTATCTGTACCTATAAGTAAGGACGAACTGCAGCATTTTTAAGGGGTAAACTCCACATAGGACACTCTTGCACTCTTCTTTCCAGACAGTGATGGCGCATGGCTGCTACCTTTCTGCAGAAGAACTGGACGTATTCAGAGAACGAGGAGCATCCATCGCACATTGTCCCAATTCTAACTTATCGTAAGTAGGCAATAACTGATTGGTAGATTATGAACATTTGGGTTGCAAATTAGCAGCCAAATACCTTTGCTTTCTCAGCCATTCCTCCAGTATCTCTCTTCTATAGTTATGCTTGATTGGGACAGGAACTAGATAGACTAACGCTTACTTGTGCTGTAGTGGGGAGAAAGAAAGCACTGAAAAGAGGACATTTTTTGCAGAGTATGCATATTAAAGGGCACCACAACTCTTAAAATTTCTGAGTTTGTGCAAAATAGGACAATAGGAAATATAACGGAAAGAGTTCAAAACCAATAGCATTCAGAATTTACAGCTAACGGCTGAAAGGGTGCATGTGCCAACCAGCAGTTCCAGGGAGAGGGGCCCGACTTCCCATTACTTTGTGTTGTGCAAACTACTAGAAATGGTGCAGAAGCCAACACCCGTAGTATATGTCATACTGCTGGATCTGACAGTGTGCCAGTTCACATAGGAGGGACCTTGTCCTATTGTAATTCTCCAGAATGCAAAAGCTTTCTTTGTAACTAGTTCTCAACATTTTGAGAGGTTATAGATCCATAAGTGAACCAGATGAAAGTTATGGTCTGTATCTTCAGAAAAAAGCCCATAGATAGAAAAATATTGCATCTAATTCAGGAGAATTCATAGTTAACAGGATGTTGATCCATGGATGCTAGGTTAAGAATCCATGCTCCAGAATTAGATACAGAAAGGATCTCTCATTTCTGGGGCTAGTTGATCCAGAACAGAGCTCCTCCTCCTTAGAGGCAAGTTGGGGTGGATTATTCATATATTGACTAATGTGTTTGGTCAGCGTTAGAGCTGATGTGATGGGAAACACAATTTCCAGTGATATCGCCATCATTATTGTTGGTGTCCTTCTCTTACTGGAACCACCTGGGTCTCCTTGTTCTGACTCTCTCCTGTCTCTACAGGATCCTCAGTGGCTTTCTCAATGTGTTGCAAGTCCTGGAACATGACGTGAAAATAGGGCTGGGTACAGGTTAGTAGTCTACCATTTAGAGCCATGGCAAAGTGGTTGATTAAGTGCATAACTTGCTAATATGACTAATCTTCAGGTAACAGTTCTCTGTTAAAAAAGACAGTTTTATTATCTGGTAGTAATAGCTTGAGCTAATAAGATAGTGAAGTTAGAGCAGTAAGAAGATGTATGCAAAGGGAGAAGTTTTGGTGACACTAATCTCTCGAAAGCCATTATCCATACTGTTAAGAGAGTGGGCTATAAAGGATAAGTCCTTCTCTAGGGTTTTAGAGATTCTTTTTAAAAAGTCCTTGATTTTTTTCCTCCTTTTGTTTTGTCCTTCTGGCTAGGTTTTAATGGTTTAGATTTGTATGTTTTCAGTTTTCAATAACTGTGTGATCACAAATACCGTCTCAAAGAAAATTACTTGACCTTGCCTAGTGAGCACAGGTTTAATCTGTGCCAGCACTGAGAACTCTGAGATAAGTTAAGAACTTCCTTTGCTTTTAAGCAGTGTTTAACAAAATGAGATTCCAATCCCCGCGGGCAGTCTAGTGTTTGCTAGGTGAAGGACATTCTAGGTGGCTGATAAATTAGTGATGTCTCCTTTTTTTCACAGTACGTGTTAATTGTTTGTCCTGTGTGTGTGTAGTGCTGCTCACTCTGAAAGTGTGCGCCAGGCCCAAATGTCTAGGCATATCCACTGTGCACTTTCCTTTATTGCTGTGTGTGAATGAACTAAAAAGTTTTACAAAACGGGTACAGGACAGCAGAGTGCATTTGTCTTCCTGTTTAAGATTATCAAGATGTTTGCATATTGACAATGATGGTTTTCCTCATTTTCTGCAGATAACTTGTTTCAATTAACTTTATACCAAGCTATATTGGTAAGACATACAGTAATACAAAATGATTTATTTGTAAAGAGGTGTGCTAGATTAGGCTTTCCCCAATTTTACATGAATCAAAGGAATTACATTTTTTTTAAATTCTAGTTTAGGCCTTGAACCATTGAGATCGTGTAATGCTTGGGGATAGTCACAGGTATTAAGGCAGGAAACCAGTTATCCTACTTCACAGAAGAGCTTTAATGGATAAGGAAAAAAGGGCCAAGAGTTTTTGTTACACGCTATAGTTAATTAATCAAAAATTTAGGAGACATGCAAAAATCAGGTAGGTATTACCTTCAGATTTTCTAGAATTTTGGTCTCCATGATTTAAATTTATCACATGACTTTCAGTTCTTGACTTCCGGTTATATAGTGATGGCCTAAAACATTTAGGGAAAGCTCTGTCGCATATTAGCTGTAAGACCTTGAGAAAATCACCTTAATTTTCTAAGGCTTCATTTCCTGATTTTTATAACAATAACAATAATAATTATAACAATGTCTATCTTACAAGCTTGTTTTGAGGCTTAAATGAAAAGAATGCATGCGAAGTGGTTAGCATATACCTGGCACATTGCACTAGTTAATAAAGATTGGCTTAAAAAGGAAAGAGCAACATTGGTGTATTGACCAAATGTTTGATTAAATATGATGCATTCGCTTACTAATTTGGAGAATACCGTTTATTGCATTTTACATAGTCTCTGTTGCAGTTGTTACCCTATGCTCTACTATTTCTTAAACCTGACTTTCATATGTCAACTTGCCCTTCCCCTGTAGACTTTAGGAGATTGTTTAACCTCATGCTATGGACAGAAAGGAGGTCCAAGAGCAGTTTGTTCACCCTGTCTCTAACAAGTGGAGGCAGATCCTTACTTAGGTATTAGAAAGGAGAAACTTACATGAAGCTTAATGAAAATATTGCAAAACAAGAGAAAGCAGTATCAAAAAGAATAAGAGGATGAGCATATCTCTGAAAATGATCTACTTCAGGATCCAGAAGAAAATTTCAGAAAATTGCCATCATCCTTGGAGTACAAGAAGACATGGCACTATGAAAAGACCACAAGTTGTGATAGAAAAGGAAGTGTTAAAAATGAAAGAAGAAAACTGGAAAAAAAAATAGATTAAGAAGCCTGTAAATGCTCATACACTGCTGGAGGGAGGGTCAGTGGTACAGACACTCTGGAGAACTGTTGGGCGATTTCTTATAAAGTTAAACATATAGCTATATATGGCCCAGTAATTGCACTTCGGGGTATTTGCCCTAGAGAAATAAACACATACGTTTGCAAAAGGAGCTGTACAAGAAAGCTTACAGCGGCTTTATTCATAATAGCCCAAAAGTGGAAACAATCCAAACACCTGCCAAAAGGAGGATGGATAAGCAAGTTGTGGCATATTCAATGGAGTACTACTCAGCATTAAAAAAAAGGAACAAACCACTGATGTTGCAAAACATGAGTAAATCTCAAAAATAGTTTGTTAAGCGAAAAAAGCCAGACACAAAAGAGCAAGCACTGTGTGATTCCACATGTATGAAATCTAGGGACAACAGAGTATCTTACAGTGACAGAAGTCAGAAAATGGTTGCCAAAGGGTGAGGAGGGGAATTGACTGGAAAGGGGTGTGAGAGAACTTTCTAGAGTGATGGAAAGATTTAATATCTTTTTTTGAAAGCTAGTTAAATGGCTATATACAATTGTTAGCATTCATCAAACTGGACACCTGAGTTCCGTGCATTTTATGATATCCTAATTATACCTCAATTAAAAAACAGCAAACAAACCATGTGGGAAGCTGTGACAAGTAGAATTATTGTTGCAGAAAATTAAATCAGAGATGCAGAGAACAAGGTTAACCAAAGATCACAGTGAGTGTTTGAGAAGGATCCACATGAGGGGCAGAAAGCATAGCGCCAACACATGGGATTTTCCTGACCAAGGTTCCAGAACAAATGGAACAGAAGCAATAATCAGAGCTTTGAAATCAGAGCTTTTCTGAGCTTAAGAAAGAATTGTGTATCATATTGAAAGGACTTACCCCGTTCGAGACTGAATCCTAACTAAACATATTGTGGCAAAATATTTGAATTATGAAGAAAATGAAAAAAGTCCTAACAACAAACATATAAACATTAAAAAAAAAACCGCCAATGAGAACATATGTCAAGAAGATGTTCCCGTCTGGTTGGGAAGAAGTTCCTTTGACCTAAATACAGGATATTTATTTTTAAAACTGAGGATTGGGCTTTGAGTTTCGGTGTTACATATTCTTTATATCATTTGAACGTCTTCAATATTTTATCATACATTTTTAAAATAATATATGCTCTGCAAAAGAACTTTCCAAGTACTAAAAATTCTTCTGTTTTCTGATTTTATTACTAGAAACCAAGAAGTTGTGGTTTATGTGTAAGGTAGAGAGGATGAAGATGTATTTGGCAAGTGGGAGCAAAATTATAAGTATATAAAATCTCTTGTCTCAGAAAAAAGGGACATAGCAAATAGCCAAAAAACAGTGATCTGAAGGAAAAGATAAAAATATGGTACAAGTTTACATCAACAAGACCTATGAATTCATTAAAACAAACAACATACATGGAGCCAGTGTCCCACGTTCTAGTGACAATTTCTTATCCTTCTAACTTACTTGTTCCATCACTCCCAAAGCAACAGCTCTTTGATCAACTTGTAGCCTCCAGTCCAGCGATGCCGTGCCTTCTCAAATTCCATTATTCTCTTTCTCATTTACCCATCTGGGATGCCAGAGTACATTACTATAATCGTTCCCTTGGGAATGTCCTCATGTCTCATGTTCTTCTTGTTTTCTTTGTATTCACTTTGCAAAAACCCAAACCTTGGTTATTTCAACTATTCCCCTTCTCAGTGTCTACAGCTGAGCAGCTGGAAGTTGCTGGAAAAAAATTCTCTAGTGAGGTTTCATTTCAAATTTTGCTTTCAAATCCCAAATGGCCCTCAGCACTACCCAAGTAGACAATTACGTTTCTCTAATGGGCACATGTCCCCATGTTCCAAGACAGCCTTTTCTCATTTCTTTCTAAACTTTCTACTCCAACTCATCGCCTCCTCACTTCCCGCTGATGGCCTCGTCTCATAAGTCATTTAGAAAATAGAAACAATCAGAAACCCTTCCCTCACCTTCCCCCCAACAAATTTACACATTTACACACCTTCCTGCATCTGCTTGTGTGTTTTCTTTTTCCCGCTACAGCTAAAAAACAAAAATTCTCTTCTCCAATCAAAGGCAAAAATCAAAATACCGTGCATTGTGTTCTGTATTCTCTCCCTCTCTCAGTATCTCAGCAATTCCTTTGGCCACTGACTCTCTTGCATCATCATTATCTCCTCCCCACTGGATCATTCCTATCAGCACAGAAACATTCTCTAGTATCTTCTGATCTTTTCAGCAAAGATATGAAACTTCCCTCTTAGTCAGACACCCGTCTCTGACTGTTGCCCCATCTCTCTGCTCCACTTCACAGCAAAACTTCTTCAGAGTGGGAACCCCACTGCCACCACTTTCCATTCCTCCACCCCTTCAGTCTGGCTCCCGCCCGACCCTCCAGGGTAACTATCCTTGTCCTTTCTCCCCCGGGCTTTTACCATTGTGGTCTCTTTTGCCGCCAACCCCAAAGGCCACCATTCTGCCCTTAACGCACTGCACTTATGAGTAGTATTTGCCATAATTGACCACTCTCTCCTTTGTCCAAACAATCTTATCTTGGATACAGTGAAACAACACTGTTCTAGATTTCCTTCTGCCTGTCTTGTCAGCCCTTCTTTCTCTTCTCTGGGGTCCTTTCTCCTCTCCCTGGACATTCAAAAGCTTTGTTCAGGCTCAGTCCTAGCCTCTCTCCTCTTTTCACTTTCCACTTTCTTCTTAGGAGACATCATCCACAACCTTGGCTTCACATGATTACACATCTGCAGATGACTCACAGGTTTTTGTATCCAGCCCAGACTCTTCCTTTGAATTCCAAACCTTCATTTTCAATTGCTTTCTTTCTCCTTCATTTTTGACCCCTCCTCATAGAAACCCCAAACTTGCTTATATCCCAAAACACATTTAAGCCTCGTTCTCTTAAATGGCTCTGCTTTCCACGGTTTTCAGTTTCTCAAAGTTGAAATGTGATCCTTGTCTTTGGGACCTTCTTTTCCCTCACCTTCTCCCCCATGTCTAAGCCAGTACAATGTCCAACCTCATGAATCCTGAATATATCTGGAATCCATCCTCTTTTCCCATATCAACCACCACCACTTGATCCAAGCTGCCATCATGTCTTGCCTGAACTCCTGCACCAGCTTTCTAATCAGGCTCATATCCATCTTGGACTCTTCCTATCCATAGTCTTCTCTTTTCAGAAGAATCACAGTGAAGATCTGACCGTTTCAACCTTTCCCGCCTACTACCCTTCAGTGGGATTTTGAATATGCAGAGCTCATTACAAGGCCCTCAAAGCTCTGCACGGTTTGATACCCATCTACCTCCCAGCCTCGTCTCACACTACTCTCTTCTCCCTACGCTGGCCGTCTTTTAATCTCCTCTATGAATCACATTCCCATCTTCCAAAAGACCTTTGTGTATTCTGTTGCTCTCCCTGGAGTGCCCTTTATGCCTCTCCTTACATGGCTGAATTCTCATTCCTGTCTTAGTTTAAATGTCATCGCCTTAAAGAAATCTTCTCTGGACATCCTGTCCAAATGGCCTTTCCACCTCCATTTTCTCTATACGAACTGAACACAATTTATAGTTAATATTTGTTTCTTTCTCCTCCACTAGATATTTAGCTCACGTGGAGCTCATAAGTTTTATTTATGAGTGCTTAAATAAATCAAGCACATAGAAGATGCTCAGTAAATGGTTGTCGATAGATGAAAGAATGCATAAGAAATGGACACACATATGTAAAATCATTTCCTTTTATCTTTCCATTGCCTCTGGCTCAAGTTTTTTCTCTTGTGTGGTTTCTTCAGAGTCTTCTTGTAAATAATAGAGTCCTTTGATTGACTGTGGCAAGCAAGTGATGGTACCATTCTTTATCAAGATGGTAGAGTGGCAGGGGTTGGGAATAGATTTTCTGAGAAAATGCATCCACTTTCCTCCCTTTACCATTCCCTTTTGCAAGTTCCACCCTTTGGTCCTCATTCCCCGGCACTTGTGTTATTTAATTGGATTTTATCAGCAACTGTTAAGACAGGTGATGTTATTTCTATTTTCTGAGAAAATTGAGGTTCACAGGTACTAAGTAAATGACCAAAGGTCAACAAAGCAAAGAAGTTCCAGATCTCAGGTTAAAACCAGGTCAGTAAAAAGTGAAGGCTCATTATTTCTCTTTCCACCCCATCACACTGCCTCTTGCTATATGACAAAGTAAGGATTCCACCTGCATTAAATGTGTTGCAGAGGGAGGAGGAAGGCCCTGAGTTCACCAGGCAGGGGGGGATCTGGAAGTTCCTCTCGCAATAGAAATCCATGGAAGAAAAGCTTGACTCTTACACAAATGGTGCTCGTTAAATACCATGGTTCGTGTGCTCCACAGTCCATTCTTTGATCCACAGGTCTTGTTCCTTTATTGGAAGTTACTTCATTAACATAACAACCAGGAGAATATAGGATCATTAAATCATCCTGTAAGTCAGCAACATAAAAAAACAGCTCTCGAGATTTTCTCAATAAATTGCATAATGTTTCCCCTAACCTATCTTTATCCTTTCTGTAAGGACAGTTTTGATTAGATATTGAGGAAAAGACTACTTTCTGTACCCGCTTTTATAACTGCAGGCTTTTAAATTGTCCATATTCACACCATCCTAATGGCTTTGCTCTTGTTTTCTCCATGTTTCCTTCCAGTCTTTATACACATATTTTGAAATATATATTCCATCTTTACATGTTTCCATATTACACAGTGATAGCATTTTTATTCTGCCTTTACATTTAACATTTTCTTTTTTCTAGCAATAAAGAAAGAATCAGTAGACAAAGTATTTCAAAGCTAATGTGCATTATTCCCAAATCTTATTTATTTTGATCTTAGTTTGATGCCATGGTAAAATGAAGGTTGAATGGATGGTTACTAAAATGGACTAATAGCTTAAGTAGATGTAATTAAAATTTGTCAAGGAAGTGGATGATCCTTTGGCAATACTATTCTGGCTAAAGAAAAGTATTTTCTAAAAAAATTCCATACAAGTTTATCTAAGGACATGGCAGACGGTTGAACATAAAATCGAACTGCAATCTAGAATTAGTACTTAATAGGTTATTACTTTTAAACTTGGCAATATATATAGGCACTAAGAATTATATATGTCTATCTTGAAATGACAGAAGGAATAACAAACAACAAAGTGTATTTTAAGCTATAGATGTACTTTTCCTCTAATAAAACATGCTAACTCACTTGACATTTATTTATACAAACTCATTTAATAACTCCCACATGTGTTCTTGCCAAAGGTAGTATTCCAATATAATTATGATTAGGGACTTTATTTAAGTCACTGAAAATCTTAATCCTCATCTAATTATGCCAAGCAACATATAAAGTTGTCTACATCAGCATTGCTCATTTATTACACTAGTTTTCCAGAATACATAAATTCATTCTAAAAGCTTTTCCTGAAAATTATCATAAAGAAGTGGCTTTTTAATTCCCAAAGTTCTCATCTGAATTAGAATAGATTTAGGACAAGTTTTTAGAGCATAGAACTGTGAATTTCTTTTAAGTCTCATGTTATGTTATCTAAATTATCTTTATAACTATGAAGGCATATTTGACCAATTTCTGTGAGAGTTTAGGGAATATTCAGAGGTAAGTTTCTTCTCTTAACTTTGTGAACCATCCAGGCTTTGTATTGGGTTGAACTGTGCCCTCTCCTCGCCCCCGCCCAAAAAGATGTCTACCTGGAAGTTTTAAATGGGACCTTATTTGAAATAAAGGTCTTTGCAGATGTAATTAAGGTAAGGATCTCAAGACAAAATCATTCTGAATTAGGGTGAGCCCTAAATCTGATGATAAATGTCCTTATAAGAGACAAAAAATCAGAGACACATAAAGACACATAGGGAAGAAGGTCATTTGACAATGGACGCAGATATTGGAGTTATGCAGCCACAAGCCAAGGCACACCAGGAGCCACTAGAAGCTGGAAGAAACAAGGAAAGATTCTTCCCTAGGGCCTTTGCAGGGATTAGTGGCCCTGCCAACACTTTGATGTAAGACTTCTGCCCTCCAAAACTGTGGAAGAATAAATTTCTGCTGTTTTAAATCCCCAAATATGTGGTAATTTGCTGCAGCAGCCTTAGGAAATTAATACAAGTGTACATTTGATACTAACTGATACTAACTTAAATTGATTTTAAGTTTTAAATTCCTTTAAATGTTAGTCTGTTATCTATTCTGTGTTTATAAATAAGATCTTCTTTAAGAAAATATATTAAGGACTGAATATCTGTCACTGAAAACAAACGAAAAACCCAACCTTGTCTGCCTAATATTCCATTTCTCTCGTAAGGTTCCTCCTTTGGCTTTGTTTTATCTACCATAGATGTGGCTGGGGGTTATTCATCTTCCATGCTTGATGCAATCAGAAGAGCAGTGATGGTTTCCAATATCCTTTTAATCAGCAACGTAAATGCGAAAAGCCTCACCCTCAAGGAGGTTTTCAGACTTGCTACTCTTGGAGGCAGCCAAGGTAATGACCATTTTATTTCTCTCTCGAACAGTGTTACAACTGTGCCAATCTGAGTCCTTAGATACCGTATGAAGGCACATGTTATGGCATCAGCAGGCACCCAATATCCACGACATAGCATACCCCAAACTTCGCATGTAAAGTACATGCTCAAGCATGTGGTGGACGCATCATTCTTTCGGCAAGTTCCCTGTCTTTGGCAGAAGAGATAATAGATACACAATTATCATATTAATTTTTTTTTTGAGGAAGATTAGCCCTAAGTTAACATCCACTGCCAATCCTCCTCTTTTTGCTGAGAAAGACTGGCCCTGAGCTAACATCCGTGCCCATCTTTCTCTAGTTTATATGTGGGACGACTACCACAGCATGGCTTGCCAAGCGGTGCCATTTCCGCACCGGGGATCCGAACCGGCGAACCCCAGGCTGCCGAAGCAGAACGTGCGAACTTAACTGCTGCACCACCGGACCAGCCCCATATATTATTGTTTTAGTGGATATTTCCATTGACCACATGCATATGTGTTCTTTAAAATAATCAGTTTTTCCATTGAGTCAAATGACATGCTCTCTATTGGCCTGAGTGATAATAATAATAGTAGTAAAAATAATAGCCAAGACTTACAGAGGTCTTACCAGGTGATAGGCACTATGCAACATGCTTTAAGTATGTTGTTATTTAATCCTTACAACCACTGTTATTAATTCCACTTTACCAACAAGGTACCTCAACAAGGCTTACACCACTGTCAAGCTATATAGTACCATGATTTGAATCCAGAAAATCTAATGCCAGAATGCAGGCTCTTATCCTTCCCCTGTGATACCTTCCTGTATAAATCTCAGATTAGACTATGAATTTTGTTTACATAATTAAGTATGCTAATTACCCAAGCCTCATTAAAAGGAGAAAGATATAAAAATATAGTTGGTTGATATGAAAACATTGTTCATCAGCTTTTTCCAGTTCTCACGTCACTGTATTTTTATGTAAAAAATAGAAAATGGTAATTGTATTGCTTTCAGTCACTTTAGTATTATACCATAATCTGGATGGATGATAGTGAACACAGCATGCAACCTTAGATAGCTAGTGAGCAATAAAACATAGAGATAGAGATTTATGATAGATACCCTGGGTCTCAGAAACAGAAGGTGATGCAGGCCAAGAGTATCCTGGGAAGAGAAACTTGCTGGCTCTTCTCGGAATATTCTGGGCTATGATGAATGCCATAAAGAATATTTCAGGGAAAACAAGTAGAGGTCGTGCTCTTTCAGTTTCCCTAAGTCTTAAGATTTCATTTTCTGAAGTTACAAGTTGTAAATCACCCATTCTTTTGATGAGTGTCACGTTCCCCACCCCAACCCCAGTGTACTTGTGTATCTAAGTTGGAGTCGTTGACCTGCCATCTTATTTCCATGGTGCAAACGAGTTCTATTTAAATAATGCTTTTTTTATTTTAGGCTCTCTGTGAGTTGCTTCATCAGGATCCTGTGTCTGATCAAGCCGGCATGGGTTGCTTACCAAATCATTTCTACTTTGCTGTAATGGCTTTCTAATCTATTTTCTGGGCTGCTGGGTTTACTGTTATGGAATTTCTTCTCCTTAGCTTGTGTCTCTACGAGAGTCTGAGTGAAATGAGATGAGTGGCTTTCTGTATAAAGTGGGGCATCTTCCCAGCTTGCCACGGCCTTTCCATTGCTCTCAAGAGCAAGATGTGTGTAAATCACCTTCCCGGAGGCCTTTGCTCCAAAGGCAGCAACGCTACATTTCCTGAACTGCATTTGAGTCACTTAGCAGCTCAGCTAGGCCTCCTTGCAATAATCTGAACTGAGATCAATTTACAAATTCAGTGAAAGCAATTGTGTCTTTTCTGTTTCATTCACGCCTGAACTCTCCAGGTTTTAAAAAATAGCCCGGTTTATGTATATCATTCAAAGACTGGTGAATGAACCTGGTTTTCTGGCCTATTAAGCACACAACAATTTTATGTTGAATACAGTCATTAAAAACTCATACTTGTCATGTTCTTTGTCAGGGGCTAAAGAAGTAAAGTGTAATTGGTGAAGGAGGAGAGAATTTCCAGTGATTTTCTATTGCATTTAGTCCTTCCCCATGCAATTAATAGAACTCACCTAACTGCTTTTAACATTTCTAATTATTTTTGCGCTCCTGTCTTGCTCTAAGAATTCTTTAGCCTTTTTCTTTTCTGAGCATAAAAGAATTGCCCTTTAAATAGCCTTTTAAGAACAAGTGGGATTTCTATGTCAGTGCTTAGAGAATTGCCAAAAGACTTCTGTATGTTCATATGTAGAAATATAATGTACCAGATATTGTCTAACATGGATATATGATCCAATATTTTCACATCGGGCTATAGCCTGACCGTGACAGACTACCGCAAACACATGTAAAAATTCAAATAAATAATGTTGCATTCCAGTTGACCTTCCTTTAATGCATGCTTCCATTTGGTACCTCAATGTCCCCTCAGTGACTCAGATTACAGGTTTTAAGAAGCTTTGAATTCAGCATCTTTACTGACTAGGGAAGCCAACTTCCCCATCTTCTGAAACTAAGTCATAAAAATGAGAGATGTTCTTCCTCAGCATCTAATGTTCATGGAACATGAATTCTAGCTATGAGGTGGATCGAGCCAGCAGTCGTTATTGACCTATGCCCTATTTTAGAAAATCATTCTTCTCCGGCAACCAGAAAATCTATGAGGTTACAAAGAAATTGGTCTGCTTTCAAAAGCATTCGGACTCTTGAGCTAAAAGGATTATTTACTTTCAGAAGTTAATTTTTTCTGTTCAAAAGATTTAAACTAAGGAACTTCTGATGGATATGCCTGCGTTGGCAAATATGCAAAAGGATAATAATTTTTTATTTATTCGTGGTTCATTTCACTGCCAAGAAAATAGATCTTGTCAGCTAGTTCATAGAACAAAAAAAGGTAAGGAAAAGGAGTTGGGATGTTGTAGGGGGTGCTTAGGAGGGAAAAAGAAGAAAGATATTATGTCAGTCGTCATGTTTCTTAGAGAGATGAATGAAAATCTTGGACCAGCTGGACTGATAGAGCTGAAATAGAGGCACCCTCAGAATCAGGATCATGGTGATGAAGGGAACTGTTTTCATTCTCAGATTTTGCTTTCCCTGTGCTTGCTCTGCCTTCTGTAAATCCAAGTCTTGTGACCTATTGCATTGAGAGAGCTTTTCTGCTTCACTATTGAGATACTAATTTTTTTGTAGTAACATGTTGCAGATTCCATGCTTGCAAACTGGGACATTTGCACAGTCTGATGGCTTGAAATACTGACTGTTGATTAATTTATTCCACCCTGCAGCCCTGGGGCTGGATAAAGAGATTGGAAACTTTGAGGTGGGCAAGGAATTTGATGCCCTCCTGATCAACCCCAAAGCATCTGACTCCCCCATTGACCTGTTTTGTGGGGATTTTGTTGGTGATATTTCTGAGGTAAGTAAAAGAAAGGTAATCAAAGGCATTTATTTCATGCAGTGGTCATCATAGCTTCCCTGTAGAAAAAAAATAAAGGCTGAAACGTTTTAATGGAATGCAGGAGAATCTTTAAAAGGGAAGCTAGATCCTTTTAAATTATTACAATCTCATGCAACAATGTTAACAATAATGGTATTAACAAAGTATTTGTATTTTGATTATATTTGTATGTTTGAATGCATTTAGCTAAAAGAAGCCATAATATAGTTAGCACTTATTGAACATACTTACTATGTGCTAGGTGGCCTGGAATTAAGTACTTTCATGCATCATTTTTGTTTAATCATCAGAACTCTTACGAGAGGTAGGTGCTGTTAATATTGCTATGTAACTTACGGGGCAGTGAGGCTTCAGGGAGATTAAATGATCTACCTAAGGACTCATGGCTAGTAATTAGTAATTAGTAGACAGAGTCTGGATTCCAGTCCAGGACTTTCTGACTTCCAGAGTGGAGCTCTTGACCATAATGCTACATTGATTTTCTTAATTATAAGAAAATGAGATTTATTCCTTTGTTTCTCTTATTATAGAATGTTTTCTGTATAAAATAAACTGGTGCTTCTTACTTTAATAACAATTCTTTATAAGATATTGAATTTTTCTTAAAAAACTATTACCATTTATAGATCGATCCACTTATGAGATAATGTGATACTAAATATAACATATTAAGGTCTTTAGAAGAAAGATGCTGGATTATTTGAACTTGGTACCATTTGTTATTTTCATGTTATTTATTTTACTCCTTCTTTAACATAAATTTTTGGGAATAGGACTGTGTCCCATTCATCCAGTCATTTTTCTTATAAGAAATATAAATATTTTGAAAGATTTGAATTATTTTATTAAATCAGTTTCTTTAATTTATGTAACACTTTTCCTCTGAAGAATTCAAGGTTATATACCAAGAACTTTCAGGTAATGGATAAACATTTGTTAACAGCCAGTAGTTTTTTTTTTTTTAAGCAAAAGACCATTTCTTTTTCATAAATAGAAGTAAATTTTGCCATTGAGAAGTAAATTTATATTTCTGGGCTTTGCCAACCACTATTGGCTGTGAATTTACTTTTCTAAATGCACAAAATATTCTTTCTTATTGTGACCTTTATTTTGCATTTTAGGCCGTTATCCAGAAGTTCCTCTATCTAGGTGGGTAGACACACGTGTCAATGCTAAATAAAATCTTTCTTTATCTCTTTCTTGGGTATGGTTCTCTGTATTTATTGTACCATATGTTAAACCCTATGTGTGATTGTTTGCTTTGATTCATTCTGTTTTTTTTTTTTTTTAACATTCCCCGGCGTCAAGCCCGTTTATGGCACAATAAAGGCACTATTTGAAATGCGCATGCTCCTCTACAACGTAAATCCTAAACCGAGGAACGGTAGACCAAAAGAAAGACGTCATTGTGTCCTTTCCTCTTTCTCTCATTCTGTACCTTCCAGTCTGCCCTACCACGTTGTATTTGTGATAAGTATGTGGGGGAGTCTCACCACACACATTTTTTAACGTACATTCAATTCAGTTCACTGAGAGAGAGAAATAAATAGTCCGGAAGGTTCTACCCTGCCTCTCACTGCAGTTGAGTGAACTCCGAGTCCTAAGTGAACTTGAGATGGGAGAGACACCTGGTATTTCTTGAGCTCAGTTCTAGCAGGCCCTTCATCTCACCATGCTGAGTGTGATTCTAGGTGTAAAGATAAGTATTTCCTTTACTATGGGGGCTGGAAATGCAAACCGTGCACGTCGGCTGGAAGGACAGCAACAGGGGGTCCGTTCACCTTTATGTGATTTCTGCCTTAGGTGCAGAATTCCGACGCTAATCCTCAGATTAGGTGGAACATCGTCTGTTGCACATTTCTCCCTGTCTAGATTATAAGCAATCTGAAAGAGAAGAGAGAGCTTTTTGTATTTTCTCTCTTAGAAGTAGTTTTTGTTTTTAAATCGCTCCCAGTGGCAAATAAAATACATATTGACACAAAAGCACTTTATAAATGATTCCTTGATTTCCTTTTTCAGGAGATGACCGAAATATTGAGGAGGTTTATGTGGGCGGAAAGCAGGTAGTTCCCTTTTCAAGCTCAGTGTGAGACCCTCAGCGTCTACCAGTTCTCCTGGGACAACGTCGTTCTGCGTCTGTTTGTGCCCAGGCGGAGTTAGAAAGTCAACGAATAGTACCTTGTTCTTGGGCTGACTCTCTCTCCCTGTATCCAGTTACAGTATTGACTTGACAAATCGTTTGAAGGAAGTTGTGCTAATTCTCAACTCTGTGCTTGGGAGGGTTCAAAATTTCTCTCTTTTGAGCTCTTCAGATTTACTTTAAGCTCAAACATAAGGGAATGTTATTCCTGATGATATCCTTATTATGAGATTTAAGTAAGATTGACTTCATATGTGGAAATGTGGAGAGGAAAGATATTTCTATAAAGTTAGATATTTTAAGCCAATAAACATGAAAATCAGAAAACAGAAAATGAAACAGTGAATATATTTTAATGAAGGAGAAAATATTAGACTATGAACAAACACTGGAAAATCACTTCAGATTATGTTTGAAAATTATATACTGAGCATACTAATTTAAAAAGAGAACTTGTTGAATTTTAAAACGTGTTTCCCGATTGACCTTGTCTTCTGGAAATTTGCATTTAATGGAATTTGCATTTCAGAGATGTGTTATTGTTGTGCTTTGCCTTCTTCGGGGATGAAATGTCAGAAATTGAATGCCACGTGCTTTCTTAATATAGTTCTGTGCTTCAAAGTGTTTGACAGAAGTTGAGTATTCAAGATTTAAAGTTTCTTAGGAATATTATTCTCATAACTACATGGCATAAATAGTTATATTTCTGTGTACTTTAAAGTCACCTTAATGTATAATTGTGTGATGCTATTATTGCTTCAATTTTATTAGAAGAGAAACAAATTCCATAATCTACTGCTGTGTAGACTGGAGCCTTCATAAATTGGGGCAAGTGCTGAGCGTCCAAAAGCTGCCAATACCAAAAGGAAGGGTCTCATTGCAGTGACCTATTCTCCCCGAGAACTACGCCATAGTTGCTGGAAATTTCATACTCAGATATCAATCTCTTAGAACTTTAAAATGAAGGACAAATCCTCTTAAAGAAATGTTAAAAATCTTTAAACCCTGGGGCCGGCCCCGTGGCGAGTGGTTAAGTTTGCTCGCTCCACTTCCTCGGCCCAGGGTTTTGCTGGTTCAGATCCTGGGTGCGGACATGGCACCGCTCATCAGGCCATGCTGAGGTGGCATCCCACATGCCACAACTAGAAGGACCACATCTAAAACTACACAACTATGTACGGGGGGACTTTGGGGAGAAAAAGGAAAAATAAAAAAGAATCTTTAAAAAAAATCTTTAAACCCTACATATTGTGAGTACTCTATTTTTCAATTTTATCCTATTATCTTTCTAATTCCTAATAATTTTCAGGATATTAGAATTTTAGGATAATGAAAAGTATATAGATGTCCCACTTTATGTTAATAGGACTTAATCTGTACTAGACATCTAGGAACATTAAACAAAGCAGAGTATTTTTATGCGTCCTAACTATAACCATAACCTAGAATTAAAAACAAATTATGACTTTATGATAAATCCTTAAGAAGTATTGATGTGAATGTTATTTAAATACTATATTTTTCTCATTTAATTCCAAATACTATAAACCAACAAGGAAAAGGAGTAGATTTTCTTAATGTATCTTAACACTCATACCTAGGGCTTAGTTGTGACTCATTATTATTATGTTACAGTAGAGAACTTTATGTAATATAGCTAATCCATATCTACAGGACTAAGAAAAAGATTCCTCCTCTTGTATTATAAATTTTAATCTCATGTAGTCATGCCAATTCAGAAGTATGTCCAGTTTTTTTTTTTCCTGGTGGAAACACTTTTAGATTTGCTACACTTAAAGATAGAACACATTTTTATCTTATTTTTTGAAAAACAACAGAGTTTGCATTGTGGGATATGAAGTAACTCAGTAAATCCAATTTCCAGTCTCAGCCTCTGTATTTCCAGAATTTCTAATTCCTGCACCATGTCAAAGATGCCCCCACAAATTTCTGTCCATTTCTCTAGAGCACTGGGAGGCGTTTTCTCTTTGTCTCCCGATCCCTGCCGAAGGACCTAGTTACCTGCTGTCTAACCCACACGAGCAGGCTTAAGAATTTGGATGAAATGTGCAAGATCCACTACTAGGCAGCAGCTGCCCCACCCTTGGCAAGCTCCTACACTTCTCTTCCTTAAGGGTGTACATTTTACGTTGAACATCAGTTTTCATTTAGATTTAGGATTGATATGCAGTAAATATACATAAATGTAGCATCAGAAGCAGGAAGAATGGCCATATACAACCAATCTGTCAAGCGTTAAATATAGCCCTGGAAATATGTTAAGAGTTGAATACCTTTTCCAGTGCAAATAGAATTCATTGAAATGTTTACATGTACTTTGTTCTCCCTGCACCCCTGATAACTTTTATGTTTTATTTCTCTGAGTGCAGTGTTCCTGAATGTTGATCTGCTTCTTGCTGTACAACAGGGATGTGCCACACATGTGGCCAGATGTTCTGCACTTTGAAATGTTGCCTTTGCCTACTGTAGGTTGACTTTCTGAATGGTGGAGAGGCAGTATTCTAAGCCAATCCCATTTGTCACTTTATGTTTGGATATTTTGCTCTCTGACAGGAAAGAAAGTATTAAAACTTAACAGCGCCTTCACCCCACCCTGCGCTATTTGCCTCAGGTTTCATGGTATTTTTCATGGGATACATTTTGGCAGGTAAAACCGTATTCAATAGTATTAACTATCATACTTTAAAAAACATCTTTTCACAACCAGAACACAAAAGCAGGCTTATCAGCTAAGGTGAATTTACTTTTCAAAAGGGAATGAAATGTGGGATTAGGACCTGAGAGGTTGTCCTAGTCATGGTAAACTGAGACCAAGGAGACTCTGCTCCCTTGTTTATTCTCCAAGCTTCTTCTCTGATTTAATTGTCAAAGGTTTTAGAATCCAAGAGAATATCTTGGAACAAGCTCCCTTCATGCCAGGAGGAGGTCTTTCTAAGTTAACATTGTGAGCGTTGAACCCCATTGAATTTCTTTTTTACTTCTGTGAGAATTCAGCATGGGACAGGAAGGAAAGAGATGGGAAGACACTCCATTACGCTTAGCTGGTTTTGAAGTGTGCCCTTGAATATCCCTGTGGGCAGCATTATGTCTCCTCAGAGATAATGGAGGTGGTGTGAGATCCAGCAGTGGTGTGAGATCCAACAATGTATTTTGAGTCTTCACACCCTTCCAGACTCTTGCTATTTTTAATCTTTTCACCTCAGAACCAGACATATGGAAAGCTTTAAAGGCAAGCTGGAAGCGTGTTGTGTCAATTCTACCTTGTGCTATGCACAGAAGATATCCAGAACTGGATGCTTCCATAGCCCACTGGACATCTTTTCATTGTGTGCATTTTCTGATGATGCTGGAAGCAGTCACATGTTTAAAAAGAGTGTTCTGAGTTATTAAAAGCTGGACTAAGAAATGTGTCTCGGGCAATGTCTTGAAATAATTTTCAAATTGCATGGATTGTGAATTTTTTTGAAGGCTTAAAGAAGACGTTTGCAATTTCTGATCTACCTAGCCAACTTTAGGTATAACTTTGGACCCTGACACTTTTTAATGTCTCTGAAAGAAAAGCATGAAAGAAATGCACAAATGAATGGACACTATTAGAAAACCCTACCATTGGTCCCCATGCATGTTTTACATCCAGCCCTCTCCTCCCTTTGCCTCCCACAGTCCTGAGTGTGACAGATGAAGAATTGAGTTAGTTTGCAAATCTGGTCCAAATTTAATGAAATGTAAAAGTTGAACAGGCCAATGATGAAACAAAATGTAAATTCCGAGGCCTTCCAAGTCCATGGGGTTCAATGACCTGAGTAATAGATGTATGTGCCATTGATTTGCCTGTCCAGTTCCCACTCAAAAGCCTGCCAGAAAGCATTTTTTATAGAAAACCACCTTACATTATCGTTAAACTCCTGATCGCTACTCTTAAGAATATACATGTATGTATTCATGGGGACATTTTTTCTCAATATTGTATGATTTGCTTATTGTTCATGTGCTGAGTGAGCTCCTTTGTGCTTCTGACAAAAATAAATGAGATTTTGTGTTTACATTATGTTTTTGTTGTGAGTTCCCTCAGTCTGATAGAAGGGGGATTAATCTTACAATGTTTCTTTCTTTTTAACATGAATTTTAAAAAACAGAATAGGATATTTAGCTGTGGGGCAACATGTATCTTCCATCCTATGATAGTCACCATAAATAGCTTTTAAAAATTAACCTATAATGTTCAGCCCTTTGGAATCAGATTACTACTGCTTTTGATTTCAGCATAGTTAATATTTCATATTTTATAAACCACAACCCAGAGTGAGAAACATACTTTAACATCAAGAATTAGTTCACACTGTCGGGCAGCAAAATTTGCCACCTCAAAATGTGTCTCCTTGGTTTGAGGGTTATTTTAGGCTGATTGTTTTTAATAAACAAAAGACTCAGGGAGAAACTTTGATCTCTCCCCCTAATCGCCTAAAAAGAATTTAGATAGAGGACCTGTTCCAGGAAGGAGCTATCATCATAGACAACTATAGTGTGATATGAACTCGGTGTGGTAGACAGAGAGGAACCTAGTAAGGTGCACTTGATCAAAGTCCTCTCTGTGTCCCGTTGTCTCTAGATGGCCCAACAAACACTTGTTTACCAAACATTAACTCTTTTCATCTTCCTGTAAATTGCCTCCTTTCCCTTTGAAGTCCCAGACCCCTGCCTCCTTCTCTTTAGTCCAGAATGACATATATACCTCATTTTGCCTGTCTTTAGAATTTTTCATGCTTATGTGAATTCCCCATGCATACGTGTTAAATTTGATTTGCTCCCGTTAACCCGCCTTATGTTATTTTAATTGTTCAACCACCATAAGAACCAAAAGAAGAAGAGAGGATTTCGCCTCCCCCACAACATACACATATGTGCATGTGTATTTAAACATGAGTCTCGCGAAATGATACTTTCCCTGTCTGTGATGCCTGGAGCTATTTTCTTCTATTATGTTCTGTTCTATTCTGTCTTACTCTGTTTAATTTTTTTTATGCTGATAATGATTTCCAAAATTGGTTTCTTGAACCTCTAATGGGTCATCACCTGCAGTGTGGAAGCAGTTTCCAGTGTCTTTTGAGCTGTATACTTGAAGTCTCCATGCCTCCATTCAGTGATTTGGGCATGACATGAGTGCCTGCCTCAGAGTCATGAGGATTAAATGAAATAATACTTAGCCAGCACTTAAGATAGCACCTGGGACACAATGACTACTCACGATATCGTAGTTATTATTTTTTAAATGAATACAGACTGAACAGGAATAAAACTTTATTCTCTACTGAG